TCAATATGTTTTTCTCATAAGCTTTAAATGCCAAGCTTTTATTTTTCTTACTATTTTCCTCATTATGTTGAGTTTTTAGGGAAATTTCATGACTAATTAAAGATCCTATTAGATTTTCTATGCTAAGAGTAGATAATGTTTTTGCTTCTTCTATAGCAGTTTTCTTAGGCATCCATTCTTTAGGTAAGCACCGAAGAATTTTTCTAACTAACTCTGCATTGTCATAGGTTTTTCCTAAGGCACCGAGTCTACTTACTATTAAATTGAACCTTACATAAATATTTGAGATAGACTCACCTGGATGCATCTTGAACATTTGATATTCATGCACCAATTGATGGATTCTTGATTCCTTTACCTCGGTTGTTCCTTCGTGTGATACCTCTAAGGTTTTCGAAATCTGATGAGCTGTCTTGCACCGATTCACCTTATTGAAATCGTCTGGACATATTGCATAATATGAAACATTAGTTTCCTTAGCATCTAATTTCATCTTCTTTAGATCATCCTTCCACCATGTATCGAGATCATCTTTAATATCATCTACACCTTTCTCAACCACATTCCAAACGTCAAAACCCATCAAACCATGGTGGTCTACTATATGAAAGACCCTCCATATGAGTAGAGTTGGAACCATGATTCATAGATGACCCACTAGCCATGCTTGGTATATTGGACTGAGTTTCTTTGAAGATATTTCGATCTTTTTGAGGGAGCCGGGCTCTGATACCACTTGTTAGACTAAGCGGAGTCAAAGAATGAATACTTTTGACGTGGCCAACGTGCAAATTAATTCAGATTTAAATAGTGAGAGATTAGCACTAGCTTGATTGAGCAACCCAAATGGTTTGCCAAGAATATTCTCTCTTGAAACGATTAATTTGCTATGACGAACTTGTTCCAACTATGATAGAAGTTTGCACTTCTTTGCAATAATGGATGGAAGAATATTAGAGAACGTGTAGAGAGAGAGAGAGATTAGTTGGGACACATGATTTTAATGTGGTTCGGCCAATATGGCTTTACATCTACGTCCCGGAGATAGTTACCACTATCTCACGAGAGACTCTAACTTTTACTAAAATAAAAGACTCTCTATCCTATGAAATAAAAACACCCTTGACACCACGTGTCAAGAACCAAATAGGTGCAGCTCCACACCTATTCAACCCTTAGCTAAACCCAAGCTTCAGTTACCCACTCACTCAATCAAGCCAACACTCTTAGTTTAGCTTTTTCTAAATAGATTCTTTCGCCTTTACATTGATTTGTATCTTTTGGTTCTTCCCAGCATAAAAAGGAGGGATTGTAACCGGGTTGAAGCTATTCATGTAGAGGTGGCCATCGATCAACCCATATCTTTAAGTTAAGGTAAGGATATGACGTTTTTTTCTTTCTTTCCGCCCTATCTTTCTTTTTTTTGGTAGTGGAAGAACACACCATTCGGATTAGAGCTGTGGCACGAGAAGGCCGGTGCGAGACCTTTTTTGGCTCGGAAAAGACTTCAAGTCCAGTTAGCTGGGGTGTGATTTCCGACCTAGCCGGCAAAAGGAAAGTCGGAATAAGCGGTTAGGCTTAGAGATGTTACGGATATGGAAAACTACCTTACAAAGCTGCTACCTACCTTGGAAAGTAAGCGGAAAGAGCAAGAACAACGGGGCTTTCTAAAGTAGAGGGACGCAAGCTGACGGAGTATCTGGATAAATTTGAGTCTACAGATGTTGTAGTTTATTTGGAGAGTCCAACATGAAAATACAATAATATATATTCCAAACATATTGACCTAAAATATTAGATTTACTAAGTCAAACTTTTTGTCCCAACAATAACGCAGAAATGTAAAATAACGGGGTGGGGTGCCGGAATTAAAATTACCGCATCTGTGGATTTTTGTCCCAATATCTGGAGTCCAATTTCCACATGATTTTTTGTTGGGAATTGAGTCCAATTACTGCATTTTGAAGGAATTGAGTCCAATTCACACACTGAATTACCACAGCCAAACAACCCATATATATTATGAGAATATGATGGCGCGATTCAGTTTTCAGAGTTAACCAATGACTACGTGAAAACCCTCAACTAATGTTAAATTTAAGATGATGTGCACTTTATTTGTGTTAGCCATAATATAATGAAGTTGCTTACGTGGAAATTGGTATGACATCAATATGTCAGTAGAAATTTCGAATATCAAATAATAGTCTAAATCCAATCTCAATCTCTAATGTTTTGTTTGATATTATTATATACCAAATATTAAATTTGTTCCTTTCAAAATTACCAATAAAACATATAAAAGCAAATATTTTTCTCTGCTAGCACTCCACAAAGCATTTTCAAAATAAATAAAAGCAAACAATGATACCAATACTCGTGCAAAACAAATGAAAAAATCTCAATTATAGTAACAATAAACTAGAAAATATGTGATGTTTAAGAAGCACATAATTAAACAAACTAAAACAACAAACTAAAACAAGCGACCACTAAGTAGTCTAGATACATACTACACTAATGAAATGGTTTTGGTATGGGTAGGGGTGTGCAAAAGTTTGGTTCATAGTGGACCACACCAGACCAAACCGACGTTCATTAATTGAACGGATCAAACCCTACAAATCGACTGAGTGCAATAATGGTCTGGTCTTTCGTCCTAAAATGTCTTTCACTATTGGATTGTGGTTCTCATAAGGACCAGACTGTTGCACACCCCTAGGTCTATGTTGTCAAATACGGAGAGAAGCTATGTATAATTAAGTGGCCATTTTGGTGGTTGCTGATCTAGTAACAATTATTAAAGGAGCCTTGTTGGGAGGGTTAAAGCACGCACTAGCTTATATTTCAATATCTTTCGGTATTCCGGTATATACTAAACTCAATCTCATAATCTCTAATACAAAAAAAAAACACTTGAATTTCAATCTCAATCCCATGAAATAATACGTCCATTCAGTAATATATCATATACCAAATTTAGACAAATTCGATATAGTATTATGTATATCCTGAACTCTTATACCAAACTTCAAAGCCTACTCACTAGGTAGGATTGTTGGCTTTCAACTAGTCATAGAATCTACACATAATATAATACGCCAAAGGGAAAAACGTGAGTCCCATTTCAAATTTCCTGCAACGAGAGTGAAAGTAGGAAGGACATTTTTGTCTTCACAATTACTTTTTTTTATTCATTAAAAAGACACATACTGGGATTCGAACTATGACCATTTTAAAGGAAAGCAATGATCATAACCAATCACACTAAGCACATTTGTTGTATATTTTTAAATTAAAAATATATAATAGCAGGGAGGAAAAAACCCTTTCCCCATTTCAAATTCCCTGCTCCATGAGCGTTTGTAGGAAGGGTAGAATAGGGAGTGTCCATTTTTTTCTTTTTCTCTGTGGAACGGGCCAACTTACTGTACACATGCGGATTTAAACGGGTACAAGAGTGTCAATTTTTTTTCTTTAAGCCATTTCATTTCTCCGTGGTGATAAAATATATATGAAAAGGCAAAAACAATACTCCTTTTTATTGCTAAAAATAAAAAATTTAACAATAAACTAATGCATGGTATCTAATGGGCTAACCGCTAACCATAAAATAAAAGAGTTCAATGGGCCTGACCTACACGGGATTTGGCCATCAAGTAAAACAAATGAACATTATTGGTTTGTCATTCTAAAACAAGCTATTTTCTCTGGCATAATATATATTATGCTATTATTTTATATCTTAGTGGCTAAAATATAATGTATTTTAAAGTTATTCAATGGTCCAACCTCAACCAACCCAATTAGACCAATTTTTATCATTTCAAATATATATTATATAATTATTTGATATCATAATGATCAAATTATAGTGTATTTTATAGGGAATTGTTTGGTATTTGTTAGTAAAAAACTAAAGAGAACGATCTATTTGGTTCATTAAAACGATCCTAAACATTTTCAGTTCCTTTTGAATTTTTATGATTTTATTCCCGAATAAGTGATGTGCAAATGGCGAATTGCAGTCATCTCTTTTCTTTCACTATTTTTTATTTTCAAATAGAAAGTTTAAAAGTAAAGAATAATTAGAATTTGGCATGGGTCAGTCAAACAGGCTGAATTTCAAGTTTTGGCCCGTTTTGCTCAAGTCTAAATTATAATCACATGGTTCCCTGATACCCGATAAAAATCTCAATCCAAACCAGTTTGGCAGGTGAGTCCGTGTTTACCACCATTTTCTAAGGATACGACAACGACGGTTCCTATCCCAATTCGTGTTGTTCGTTCTTGATTTCCTTAGATTTTATCATGGCCTAACAAAAACCAGAAAGCACAATGACGACAAGATGAAAGTTTTATAAAGCAAATTAATCGACCAACGGGCCGAGTAAAAGCTAGCAACGATTGTGAGATGCTCATTTCCCGAAAACCCACGGGATAGGCGATTTTATATTCAATTTTCTGGAATTCGGTTTCTATAAAACTTACTCCACCTCATCATATTACCATAAACAACATTTTTTTCACAAGGTAACATGTACTTTATTTTGGTTCATAAGGTCGATTTTTGATTCATTGCATCATTCATGTCTCTTTCCAGCTAAAATTCACTATTTTTATCACGTGTTTCCCCAAAAAAACTATACAACAATAAGCTATACACCCCATTAAATTATCAAATTTCTTACCTCACCTTCCTCCGGCCAACTGGCCGGGGCCCACACTAGTTGAGTCCTAAGATTATGTGCAACACGTTCATTGTCCATCTCTATGCAACTGAAAAGACGGTCTGTCTAGGCGAACCATGAAGTGCCCAGGGGATAAACCCTCATGAAAATGTGACAATCCCTGCATTGGCTCGCCCGTGTTGTATTATGTGGAGAATTTCTGCTGACAGAATTTATGACATTAGATGCATGATTGTGACATTAGTTAAATGGAATACACTGTTCAAGCAAGCGTCAATGCTGCCTTCTAGCTTAACTTCTTGGAGTCGACTCCGATCCGTATAGCATCAGAAGTCAGAACAGGAAGATCGTCATCAGTAGAACAAATCCGAAACCACAGAATTAGATTGTACATTAATTACACTACTTAATTCCAGCATATATACAAGTTCAGTACTTACAGACTTCCAATCACTATAATAATAATTCAAGTTAATTCACAACAATGGGTAGACTATGTAGTCATCCAAGTGTCAGTAGTACATACAGCTACATACGAGATGGAACAGCAGCATATTGTGAGGACACAATAACCGGAAGTTCGACTCAACGTATTAGTTGGCCGCTTCGTGTTCCAACAATCACAGAGCTACAATACTTACAGATGCGGACACTGCAATCAGCACCTTTGGTTCATAATAGGGGAAGGACTATTCACAGAAAATCAGGACCAATTCTTAATGAGAGGTTCAGTGCTCACTGGTCTTCATCATCGTAGTTTTGATCTCCGATGTCAACCATATGCTGTCTGCAGATACAAAGAAGAGTCATTGGCAAAGATCTCAGATCCAAAAATGATCACAGGAACCTGAGCAAATAGTTTGAAGCAAATGAAGCCTTACCTCAATCGTCCACAGAGACGAGCTAAAGCATCAGCCCCAGTTCGGGAAGCAACATCTTCAATCTGTGATGCATTCGATAATTTTACCTCGTCTGCAAGTCTAAACTCACAGAGTTCCTTCAAGGAACAAGCATCGGTCAGCACAGCTGAGTGACCACCCCCAGCAGCTAATTTCCGGACTGCCCCTACGCACCTGCAAATTTTGGAGAGCTCGGTCAACATTCAATAAAAATTAAAACACAAACTAACACCGGCTAACCACCAAAGGGTTTTGATCCCTACCAATCAACTGGCGATGGATACCAAGCATAAGTCGATTTCTCATTTGATGCCTGCCCATAGCTATTGTAACCCCATCCCTGTATCCTTCCATCGCTCAAAGAAGCAAGTGTATGAGAATGTCCACAAGCTACATGTTCAACCCCATTTGGAACAACCACAGCAGGGATGTTTCGGAGGAAGGATTCAGAATCACTTGGAATGAATGAGAATGATGAAGTTTGGGGTCCCAAGCCTAGTTGACCGGCTTGACCACCACCCCAAGCGTATAGAGCTCCCTTCTCGGTAACTGCACAGGTATGCACTCCTCCGGAGGCGACATGCTTTATGACAATACCATCAAGGGAAACCACTCGCCGTGGTAGTAACTCTTTATCCCCAGATTGGAGGGAAGTGTGCCCAAGTTGGCCCATACTTCCGAGCCCCCAAGTGTAGCTGAAACAATACAAAAAGAAAAGGGAAGGGAAGTTCATGGAGAGGGAATCAACTATGTGCATCTGAAACAATAGATTTTAAAACATCTGGGATGAGTTCATTTGGTCGAAGCTGAAAAGGATATAAGGGCAGCTATAATATTCACATAATATCTGTGTAACTCTATGGTAATGGCTTGTGTACAGCTAGACAGAAGCAATGACAAAATAGTTCGGAAAAGAGGACACAAGGATATCAACTACTAGTTGGAAATGAACAAATTAAACAAATGAGGAATTTATGCGATCAAGCAAAGGGGAAAGAGACTTGCGTATCAGAATTTCCAATGCACCCCAAACTCTGGAGAGTCCCGCAAAGAGATATTTTCCAAGCTTCAAGGAAGTTGCATGAGTAATGAGAATAACCACGATTCTCATGTTAATAGTAAGACTTTATCTCCATCAACAGAATCATACAGAGACTTACACCTCGCCCATTTCACATAACGCAGCTGAGTGGTACTCCCCACATGACACTTCAGTTACCCTCACTGGCTCTGGAGCATCATCAAGAAATTTTGCATAAGCAGTGATGACACGAGCAGCTTGCAGGCCTTCACAAGTAACACCATGACCAAGCTGGCCATATTCATTGTATCCTGATTATTCATGAACCAAATAACAAGAAATCAATGACTAGTGAGATGGTTGGTTGCTTGCAGGACTAGTGTTTGTATTTAAATTTCCAGTGTAGGATCAAACGGCTACAAATGGAGAAGAAGCAAATTCAGTCAAAAGAGGGAAAACTTTATATTAATACCCCAGGATTGTAGCATTCCATCTTCTGATAAGGCCACTACATGAACTGCACCACAGGATACCTGGCGGATCATCTGAAAAAACCCGAGAGAGAGAGAGAGAAAGCATATGGATTAACTTACTAATTCAAAGTGCTTCATTCCAGTTGTAGGGCTGCTCAAGTCCAAGCAATCATTTACTAATACATGCCAAGCCTCATACAGATTTGCATGAATAGCCAGAAACTAACAGCCTGTTTGGATTGACAAAAAAGTAAGGAATTGGAATTCCATTTCCAATTCCATTTCCATATATTATGTTTGGAATAATAAAAAGGTTGAGAATTGAATTCCAATGGGTCTAAAATATGGGAATTACAATTCCTATCAAAAGTGATAGGAATTGAGAGAATGAAGATGGAATTAGTGGGACCCATCAATACTTTTTATTATTTTGTTGACCCACTATCATTTTACTCTCTTTCTCTCTCATTCATATTTCATTTCCCAAAATAAAACAAACATATTACATTATTCATTATGGTTAAAAGTGCAATTCATTTCCATAGTTGTAGGAATTATACCAAACACTAGAATTGGAAATGGAATTCTATAAAAATAAAAAATTGAATTCCATTTCCATTTCCATTTCTTCCGGAATTGTATCCAAACAGGCTGTAAAGGGATTCTCAGATATTTACTAGGTTGCCAGTACACCAGCCTAACCTCAGGAACATAAAACTCAACTCAAACGCATACCGTGTCAGGTTTGAAGGCACCCCAAAACAGACGCGGAGAATTGGACCCCTGGAACAAGAAGAAGTAATCACAAGAAAGCTAAGGCCTAGAGTTTTGACGAAATGAAACACCTTCACGCAAAACAGAAGGCATTGGTAAAATCTAAGCACCTGGTTCTGTCCCCAAACCCATAGCCTACTTTTGGAGATGGTTCCATCATTATCACGCGGTTCTGCAATAGCAGCAGTGCAATGTGCCCCACAAGCTACAGATTTCACAAACTCGGACTCTAATTGCTTTACTCTCTTAGGGTACTTCCTCCCCTCTTCAGAGCCATCCCCCAATTGACCAAATTCATTAGCCCCTAGACAAAACAAAAGTTGCATGTATGATCCTTCTAACCAAAACCATGATTAAATTATAGAAATTGGATTACAAAGACAAAAAGAACAAAGGATATGCAATGCAGAAGACAATCTCTTGACGTCTCTCATAACCAGAGCAACAAAAAGTTTCACCATTTTGAGCAATATAACCGTTATTCCACAGGAAATTGAGAATCTGCGATAAAAACAATAGAACTGAAGATAAGAGCAAGAGCAAGAGCAAGAGAGCAAACCCCATGTGAAGAGCGATCCATCGGAAGCAACGGCAGCGGTGTGCTCCCGGCCACAAGCTATATCCAACCATCGGGCGTTATTACCAGCGGGGCAACCGAATAGCTCAGGCGGCAGCTGCTTTGGGATACGCAATTGGCGCTCTTTATCCTTCCTTCCCGTTTGCCCGCTATGGTTATATCCCCACACATAAATCGCGCTCTTGGTTGGTACTAAGCTTCCTGGCTTCGAGCTCTCCCCAAGTATCTCGTTGATATCCATCGACTATCGATTCGATTGTTCTCAATCTCACCTATAATTGATTTACGCTACACAAATCAGAAATGACAATTAGAACCCTTCAAGAAAGATTATGAGCTGGGTTTCCGAAAAATTCTTGAACTTTGGCCATTTGGATGGGAAGATTGTAATGGGTTGCTGGGAAAAGAAACTTCTTTTGAGAAAAGAAAACTGCGCAAGGAAGGACGGTAGAGAAATGAGGTTGTTACCTTTAAGAAGCGTTGTTGCTTGGGATAAAATGGTGGGATGTCGGACAAGTGGTAGATCGCAATCTATATGGAGATTTCACGGTTGAACCCTTTTACGATCATTTTCCGACGGCTCACGACGCAGCGAGAAAGGGCAAATACAGGGACAACCAAAGGAGAAGATAGTGCAACTAACAGGCCCAAATGGATCAACGGCCCAACCGAGTCCTGTAACGATGGGAAAACGTGGTGAATTTGGAATAAAGGTAGTTGGTCAGAGAGAGAGAGAGAAAGAGCTGAATCCGATTCCAGACCAGCCACATTGATCGGTTATCATATAAAGCATATTAATGGGAAGAGTATCCTTCTTACCATTATCAACTGTCCTCGCAGGCTAGCACCAAATTGTTTCTTTCAGCTCGGACATCAATTTGTTCTCCCAGTCCCAGGTCCGCTTCCAGCCCTTCTCTAGTCTTTTGGTGATCTTTCAACTTGTCTGGTCTTTAGAGAGTGCCATTGTTGTGATTGATTAATGAACACAAACGAGTCTGTCTGCGTTTCCCTCTCTTGGGTTTCTCGTAGTTTGATTTGCCGTTGATCCTGGAAAAAGAAAGGAAAGAAATCTAGTTGGTGGGTTAAGATAGTTGGCTAACATAGATAGTTTGAACTTTTGAGTTGAGAAATCGAAGCCTTACTAACATGGCCTGGAAATTAAAGGTGAAGGGAATAAGACTCGTAAGGTCCATGGCTGAGTCTGCTGCTGCTGCTGGGAAGAAGCTTATCCGCGTGGATGTGAGTTCAGACACTATATGCCCATGGTGTCTTGTGGGGAAGAGAAACCTGGACAAAGCTATAGCTGCCTCCAACGACAGATTCAATTTTGAGGTCTCTCTCTCTTTCATTCTCATTCTGCAGAGTTCAGAAGCCCTTGATTGTCTTAGAATCATAATTTGGAATGTTTTGCAGGTCAGATGGCACCCTTTTTTCCTCCATCCTTCTTTACCTAAAGAAGGGATGAACAAGTTGCAATTTTATAAGGACCTTTGTGGACCTCGAGTTGATGGAGTTGTAGCAAGGATGACTGAGGTTGTATTTAATTGGTATTTCTGCTTCTAGTTCCCAAAGATGTGAGCTTGCATAGATCAAACTCTTACTGATATCGTTGGCCTGCTTCCCAATTTCGTTATTTGCAGGTCTTCAGAGGCATTGGTCTCAACTATAACTTATCGGGCCTCACGTAAGTGTAAACCCTTCTCTTTTTGGTGAGGAAAGATATCATCTTTTGTGAGAGAGTGTAAGAATCTCAGGCGGATTTTCTTGTCGGCAGGGGAAACACTCTAGATAGCCATAGGCTTATATATTATGCTGGAAAGCAGGGTTCTGATAAGCAAAATGACCTTGTGGAGGAGCTGTTCCTTGGCTACTTCACTCAGGCTAAGTACATTGGAGATAGGTAATGTTCAACTGTTTATGTGGTTTAGCAAGCCTAATTCCTTCACTGGCTTCATAAACTTCATTCAGAGTTCTAACTTGAGATTGTGGTGATCTTTAGGTGCATCTTCATTTATATATATTAGCCATGAATCCTGTATGTTCCTTTTGTGTTCATGCTTTGATCGGCTTATTTTGCACTTGTGCAAATAATCTTTTCGATGTTGCTTGTCTTTAGCTGCGTAAAGCTAGATCACCTAGAGTGACACTTCAGTTTGAATAGCACTGTATAAATTGGAGTTGGCAATTGGTCAGAATCAAACAATAAAAGTATCACAAGAGTGTATGTGCTTCCTTTTTTCCTCTATTGCTTATCTAGCAAGGCAATCAATGTTGCAGAGAATTTCTTTTGGAATGTGCTCAGAAGGTTGGCCTAGAAGGAGCAGCCGAATTTCTCGACGATCCCAATAATGGGCTTCAAGAGGTCGTTTTTACCTTCCATTTCCTTCTTCAGTTGCCAAATCCACTGCAGGCAGAAATGCCCTGTGTTTTCAGTTTGTGTTTTGTTTATAGAAACCCACTGATTCCTCTATGGTGTAAGGCACAATTTAACATACTAACAAACGTTTTGGTTTGATGAAGGTGATGGAAGACCTAGACAAGTACTCCTCAAACATTACCGGAGTCCCATACTACGTGGTACGTGTCAATCTATTCCTATCACCTTAAGATTCTTCAGTTCGGCAATTCGATTATATAAGCACCACCTCACAACTAATTGAACATGTGGAACAGCTGAATGGGAAGGTCAAGTTGAGTGGTGGACAGCCACCAGAGGCATTCCTGAGAGCTTTTGAGGCTGCTGCAAATTGATGAGCTGATATTACAGCCCCTGACAAGAGTCTATGTATGTGTGTATCAATAAAGGAGCTACATTAAACTCTCAAATTCAGCCGCACAAGAATTCTCTAATCGTGTGTTATGAATTAAGGACCTACACCTACATATAATTGTTGTATTCTTTCCATGTACACTACGAAAATTATGTGAAATAACGAGAGGTTGCCAGCCTGCGTGAGTTGGTGTGCTTAATGTATGTACACAATAATCCCACTCCGACAGGAAAGTTCCTTCTTTTGGTTGATTGATGAATAAAAGGAAAGGAATAATAGTGTTTGTGTTCATACCCTGCTTCTTTAATAGTCAGCTACGCGGGACATGAAAAGGTGAGACATCTGATGTATAAAATATAAGTGGGAATCAGAGAAGCAGTCTTTGACAGACGGAGAAAAAGTCTTCCAGTTATGGGGGCTGAAAAAGTCAAACTTGGCACCAAACAAGTCCTTACATAAGAGGAAAACGCATGTTCTCCTTCTCATTCTGCTCTTTATGTGGTTCCTGCTGCCTTGCCTCCAGAGAAGTCTCAAATCTTCTTCCAGGTATTCTTCTCTCTCTGTGCCCCTTTGCTGTATTCTTCAAAAGCTTCTGGAGAAAAGGAGCTTAATCCATTTTCATATTTGATCTTTTCAATGGAATGGTTTAGAAAAAAGAATAGATTCTTGGGCGCCATGGCTACCAACTCTGGGAAGAATCTGATAAGAATTGATATAAGTTCAGACACTGTATGTCCATGGTGCTTTGTTGGCAAGAAAAACTTGGACAAAGCCATAGCTGCCTCTAGTGACAGATTTGATTTCGAGGTACTGGTCCATCTACCTCGGTATCTTTCTCGCTTTACATCAAATATTCTTCCAAGTCTTTAATTATAAGTCCGGCTCTTCTCAAATTCGGTTATTTTCTCCACAGATTAGATGGCATCCATTTCAGCTGTATCCTGATGCCCCAAAGCAAGGAGTGAACTTGTTACAGTTCTACAGAGGAAGGTTTGGAGGCGGAATCGATGGAATGATGGCTCGCATGTCTGAGGTTCTCCATTTACTATTTCACATTGCTTTGCATTTCCTTGGATTTCAGGCTATGTATTGTTTGGTGATACCCACATTTCCATGCTTGCAGATCTTCAGGGGACTTGGGATGAACTATGATGTTTCCGGGCTAACGTGAGTCTTCAAAGCTACAATGTTTGATTGCCTTCAATATTTGATGCAAGAAACCGTTGAAGGATTAACTGACGTTGTTGTTTGTTTTATCAACAGGGGAAGTACTATGGACAGCCACAGGCTGATGTATTTAGCAGGTGAGCAAGGGCTTGACAAACAGCACAAGCTTGCTGAGGAACTCTTCCTTGGAAACTTCACACAGGCCAAGTACATTGGAGACAGGGAATTCCTGCTGGAATGTGCTGAGAAGGTTGGATTAGAAGGTGCGGCCGAGTTCCTCGATGACCCCAATGCTGGACTGAAACAGGTTTCTGTTTGTTTTCTTCACTTCTAAGTAGCCCATCACTTCTTCATTTTGCGTTTTAGTTACTCTTGCTGTTCTTATCTTATATATGGCTGACTTGATGCTTAAGGTAAATGAGGATCTGGAGAAGACAGTGGTTAGAGGAGTGCCCTACTATGTGGTATGTTAATCAAATCTGTCTGCTTTCACTTTTTAACAATCTTAAAGCTTTGTTTTTGAGAGAAGGGGTTATAATTTTTTACAAAAATCCTACAGATTAACGGGAAGCACAAGTTGAGTGGAGCACAGCCACCAGAAGGTTTCCTGCGAGCTTTCGAAGTTATTGCCAAATCATAAGTCTGCAACCAGATTGCTAGCTGTTTCCTTGTACTTTCATATTTCAGAAACCAGAAATTACAGTTAATAAATGAAATTTTTGGGCTGGATTCGTGCTCTGGTGATATGATGATGGCCCTTCTTAGCCCCTTTGCTCTAGTGTATGTGATTGTCGCTTATGCTGCAAAGTTTAGAGCTCTCTAGCTACCTTTTTTTTTTTTTTTTTTTTTGTGAAAGGATATCAGAACGTTGAAATGATAGGCAGTAATGGTTTGTGGTCATGTTCGATAGGTGATAGGTCGCATTCTCATCATAACATTCAAGGTCGTGTCTAGTTTCAACTGCAAGTTAAAAGGACAACTAACTGGCAAGGAGGGAGCAAACGCCATTGCATTCATGATTCACTTCCTCATAACCAAAGCAAACTGAAACCTGAATCACACAATCAGATGGAAGGGTTCACAGAACGAAGGATATTATAAATTATGGCACTTTGGGATAGAGTACTTTGCATGTTCATAACAAATGTTATGCTGCTGAAACAATGTTCACTTCACTTTCCTTTTGTTATATATACGATGGGAGATCACAAACACTTTTGTGATCTGCAATATTCACAAACAACTCTCTCGTAAGCCCTATTATGCGCTGGTTTTCATCCACGACACCACACCATAACTATCAACTCGAAAGATCATGTCGTTTCATCGAAAGCCATCACCTACAACCAGACAAAAGGTTGCGCTTTCAGCTAAAACTATGACATAGTGGTCAAAAGAACCAGTGTTGCCTTTACTTACATACACACAACATTCATGAACTCAAACCCCTTGATAATCAACCGCACAGCATGCCAAAGAAAAACAGACTTAAAAAGAGATATAGTTACCTTTCCACAAACAGGACAACTGTCACTTCTCTCCATCCATTCATAGATACAACCAAGGTGGAAATGGTGCGAGCACTTAGTCATAATCTTAGGATTCTCCGGAGTATACTCTGCACATGTGACAATTGGAAAGTTAGAGATCTGTTACCTTAGCCTTCATCTTTTGCAGAATGGAATAGAATGCAGCTTAAGAACAGACAACCGGCTACTAATGCTCACATCACGTTATTCAACATTAAACGCGGTATTTGGGGCCATAATTCATGCTTGATAAGCCTTAGAATTACAAGGAAAGATGTTCTTATTCAACGCCGATGTTCTATGACTGAGCAACAAACCCTCTTACATAAAGAGGCTGAAAACATAAGACATGATTTAACTACTTCTAGTCGATAGAATAATAAGCCTACTACCACTGTGGAGCCAATAATCTTGACTCCTACTTAGAAAAGTATACAGAAAACCTTCTCTTAGCCTTAACTACTAACGCAACCCTTCAAACAAAAATGAACAGAATAATCCTCTTCTCAAAATTATTGTTGAAAAGAATTGTTGTAAGGAACCCCAATAGCAAAATTACGCATCTTCCTGGAACGCCGAAGCTCTTTGAGGGTGTTCTTAACAAAAACACAAAATTACTCCAAATCATTGTTGAAAAGGCTTGTTGCAAGGCACCACCAATTATAAAATTCCGCATCTTCCTGAAACGTCGAAGTTCTTTGAGGGTGTTCTTAGCAACAACAGAAAATTAGTCTAAGCCTTGTCAAAGTGAGAGAGCTTCAATTACATCTCTAAAGTCCTTACTGGGCACAATCTCATCTAGATTCTCATCAGCTACTGTCGACAAATTTGTCTAGTAAGAGAAGGAACCTATCGTGTTAACCAAGGAATTCACATGAATAGATTTTTTTTAATAGCTTTTCGCATGAATAGATTGTTTCTTATGTGCACAACGAACCAAATGTGATTACTGATAAACATAAGATAACATCTAGACACCAGGAACCATAAACGTTTAACCTAGGCCATATATGTTTAAGACAGCTGAACATAAATAGAGCATGGAGTAGCTAATCTGTCAGTTAACAAGACAAATTAAAAATTGTACCTTCAAGACATATAGGACAAATTAACATAAAATGAATTTAATCATATATAAAATACATATAAATACAATTTACTTACAATTCATATTCATATTTAGATAAAATACCACATTCCAAATAAAATAACACATAGATATATTTAAATACAATGTTTATATTTAATTCGAATAAATAAAATCAAATTTTCACTTTTAAATATTATAAATAAATAATAATTTTTTTATTAAATTCACTAAAATCTAATCATTTTATTTAGAGTTTGTAAATTAATCATGTCAATCATATCTATGATTTCATGCCAGTTAAATTTCTCTAATTCTCCCTTCCAAACAGCTAAAAGCCTAAAACTTAAGGGGTTGTTTGGAAGTTGCGAATGTTAAATCGTTGCATTGTAATGAATCACTATAATATAAATGCATGTATTGATACAATAGATGCATTTTAACAATACATTGTTTGGTTGTTGAGTTGCTACTTTATGCATTGATTTACATAAAGTTACTTTTATAGGGAAATGTCACATTTAACCTCAACTTTTAGAATAAGACAAGAATTATTGGGGATATAAATGGAAAGAAAAAGTTGACACAAATCTAAAACCAACAATCTCTAGTTGAGATTGTATAATGCATCATTTTTTGTGATTGTTGGTGGGACCATTGTTTTAACACCTTGACACTTCCAAACATTGTATTGTGCACAATACATGTATTCAACAAACACAACTCTAACAATCACAACTTCCAAACGATCCCTAAAACTCAAAGTCCAATCTCTTGTTTTGAATCATTTTCCTTCCAGGCCAGCAGAGTTTTTTTCGGTGCGAAGTGCGATTGCGAGCGGGACCTTCATTTTGAATCATTCTCTCTCTCTCCCTTTTGTCAGTTAATCTGCCGGCCGCCCTAACCAGCCCCGCCACCACATTTCTCAGATCTATCACTCTTTTATTCTTCTCAGCTCTCTACCTCATTTCCTAGCGCTTCAAGTCGCCCTTCCGAATTCCCTGATTTGGGCTGTCATCGCATTGGAATCTGATAACATGGTTCTGGGATTCTCCCACAATGCAGAATCCCAACTCTCCCAGTGCGATGGTTCCAGTTTCGATCTTGGTTCTGTAATGGAGTCATAGTCCAATTTCGGTTGCTATGCAGACTCTGGTGTTCAGAGGTGTTTGGTGAGTGTGTCAATTTTTTATTTTTATTTTGTTCCGAATTGGAATGCAAAGGTCGTCGAGCTCGATGGCGCAGCCGGATGCCATACTGGAGTGGCTTCACAAGGAGATGGGGTACCGGCCGTTGGGCAACTACAGTGGTTCGACGAACAAGTCCCAGCTGCCGTCCATTGACGCGCTGCGGAAGATTTGTCGGGGTAACTTGATACCCGTCTGGAGTTTCTTGATTAATCGAGTCAAGTCGGAGAAGACGGTGGAGAGTATAAGGAAGAACATCATGGTACACGGCGACGACAGTGTTGGTGGTGTTGAGCGTGGGGGTCCAGTGAGTACTTCCGGGAAAGATGATGGCGGTGCCGGCGGCAGGAGTAAAGGAGGTGGGAGGAGGAAGGAGAAGGTGGTTGGTGGGGATGTTTCTAGTAGTGCAGCAGAGAGTAGGGATTTGGCGTTGCAGGAAAGGGAGTTGGCTGCAAAGGAGGTGGAGAGGTTGAGGAATATTGTTAGACGGCAGAGGAAGGATTTGAAAGCCCGAATGCTCGAAATCTCGAGGGAAGAGGCTGAGAGGAAGAGAATGATCGATGAACGCTCTAAAAACAGGTGGTATTCTGAACAGCTTACATGAAATGAGCAATTTGACTTGCGAGGTTAACTCATGATTATGATGAATTTACTGTAGGCATAAGCAGGTGGTGCTGGAATCTTACGATCAGCAGTGTGATGAAGCAGCAAAAATATTTGCCGAATACCACAAACGTCTTTGTTACTATGTTAATCAAGCTAGGGATGCTCGGAAGTCGAGTGCTGAATCTTCTGCTGATGTGATTAGCAATGCCAGTGCGAACAGTGACAAAGAATCAGTTTATTCGACAGTCAAGGGTGCTAAATCTGCTGATGATGTTATTCTTATCGAGACCGCCCATGAGAGAAATATCAGAAAGGCTTGTGAATCTCTTGCGGATCATATGATTGACAGAGTACGCATTTCCTTTCCGGCGTATGAGGGAAGTGGTATTCATTCATCTCCTCAACTGGAAGCTGCAAAAATGGGTATCGATTTTGACGGGGAGTTACCTGATGAAGTTAGAACCATCATTGTGCATTGTCTGAAGAATCCTCCTCAATTACTCAACGCAATCACCCTATACACATCGCGACTAAAATATATGATTTCTAGAGAAATTGAGAAAATTGATGTCAGAGCTGATGCAGAAACTTTAAGGTATAATTTGGACCATGTTTGTTCTTACTGGTATTTGCTGCAGCAATCAAATTACCAAAACCAATGCATTATTATGCACTCCACTTCCCTCTATACTAAATTTTTCTGTCTCAGTGACGAATTTTGTATATGATTGCCTCTTAGGCAGTTGGGTTTAGGATCTGTGTTCTCTGAAAACTTAGTGCCATTGGCTTGTGCTGAAGGTTCTTTTGATCTCTCTCTTATACTGGCTAGTCTATGTAGCTATAAATTTTTGCGAGCTATCTTCATTGACTGTATGCCTTCAATCAGATAACTGATACTTCGGTTTATTTGTTAGATACAAGTATGAGAACAACAGAGTACTGGAGGCTTCTTCTCCTGATGCCAGGTCTCCATTACATTATCAACTGCATGAAAATGGAAAGTTTGGAACAGATATTCCTTCCGGAGGAACTCAGAATCAGCTCCTTGAAAGACAGGTATTATAGATGATTGCCTTAAATATTTTTGGAATTTTCATTAATTGGGTTCTTGAACTTCTTGTTGGCAAATCCCCATGATTCCAAGTTATGGTCCTTGGGGATATAATATCCATTTTAATTTTCAAGTCAATTTGCTATTTTTCATCTAAATAATTTTCCCCAAATGTTGTTCACTAGTTCTGTGATGTTGTTGATATGGAGTTTCTGCTTCAATTTGGCTGTTTGCAGAAAGCTCATGTTCAGCTATTTCTGGCTACTGAAGATTCACTGAACAAAGCTGCCGAGGCTAGGGACTTGTGTCAGAGTCTTATAAAGCGATTGCATGGGAGTGGCAATCTGAGTTCTACAAATGTACTTACTGTTACTGGTGCATCACAGAACCTTGGCAATCTTCGACAATTTGAGGTAGTTCCTTAGTTCATAATCTTCGTTGCTACCCATGATTTGAACATTCATAAATACTCCCATGGTTGCTTTACCAACTTCAACACTCTCATGTATCCTTGTAAACAGTTTCTCCTTCGCTGACTTCCTCATTCTCAGTTGAAACTTCAACCTAGACGTCGTCATATATATGATTAGCTGACTTGTCCATTGCTTATGTAGTTGGAGGTTTGGGCCAAGGAGAGAGAGACTGCAGGATTAAGGGCAAGTTTGAACATACTGATGTCTGAAATCCAGCGCTTAAATAAGCTTTGCGCGGAGAGGAGAGAAGCTGAAGATTCTTTAAGAAAGAAATGGAAGAAGATTGAAGAGTTTGATGCACGGAGATCTGAACTTGAAACTGTTTACACTGCTTTACTGAAGGCCAACCAGGTATGATAATGCATCATTAGAATTTAGGAATTCAATATTGCAGATAACTGGGTTGAAAGACAGAAAAAGAAATCTTCAAATTTGTGTAATTGCTTAGGTTATAGACTTCGGGGGTTGCAAGAAACCAACGACATCATTAATGGGTTGAGTTGAATCATCAACCTAATTTCATGCTGGATTTTTGCTGAAGTCTTGTAGAAAGTTTAGAAAGGAGAAGAACATATGCACTATAATATGCAACTGGTCTCAAATGATATTTTGAGACATGGCATCGAGGATGTAAAAGTCATTTTCTTTAAGGATTTCTCCAGATTGTTCTGCATTTGACACCAGGAATTGATTTTTACTATCAAGAAACCAGCACATGTCTTGTTAATTTAGCTTGCTCTAAAGGTTAACAAAATGAGTCCGGACTCAACTTAGGCATCCATGATACAGTCAGCAATCAAACTTTGAATCCATGTTAATTGCATAGCAGAGTCTTGTAGCTAGAGACTACTGCTGCATAAAAATGCCATATTTCTACTCAGGGGCAATGTTAAAATTACACTTGCAAGTGGTAGCTCCTTTTGGAACTTGTAGGCACATGAGGCACGTGAATTTCCTTTTTGTTCGTTTTCTTATATAATTTCTCCCAACGAAACTATATTTGTCATGCTAACTTATATCGCATTTAGGATGCAGCCACATTCTGGAATCAGCAGCCGTTGGCTGCACGGGAGTATGCATCAACTACTATTATTCCATCATGCACAGTTGTGTTGCACATTGCGAACGCTGCAAAAGATCTTATCGATAATGAAGTTAAAGCTTTCTCAAGGAGTCCTGATAATAGCCTTTATATGCTGCCTTCTACTCCACAGGTCAGTATGACTCTTGCAGAATGGTCATCTGTTATTATTCATTCAGCAATAAACTGCCTCTTTCCGAGATAAGTGGTTCTTGTCATCTCTGCTCAGTTCTAAATGTGTCATTTGATATGCTGTTTTGTCTATTAAGCTTTAGAAGTTTCGTTTTTATTTTGATTTTCTAAGGATGAAGTGTTGTCAGTTGAATCTTCAAAACACCATTTTCCTGTGTGACAAAGGTTAGAAACTGATATGGCGTGTTTTCTAACAAATTTTGGTTCAATCATTGTCAGCAGTAGGCATGCGTCTCATCTGTTGTCTCTGTGTTATTTATTTATTATTTTTTGATGAATGGGTTGCCTATTATATGTTATCCTCCTATTTGTTAGCTGCTACGGTCTTATGTTCAAGGTAGTTGATCTAGTACAGATTCTTTGTTGGCACTCATTATTGTCCTTTAATTTTTGTCAGGCACTTCTGGAATCAATGGGTTCCACAGGATCTACAGGACCTGAAGCTACTGCTGCTGCAGAGAAGAATGCTGCTCTCCTCACAGCAAGAGCTGGTGCTAGGGATCCATCAGCAATTCCGTCCATATGCCGAATATCTGCTGCTCTCCAATACCCTGCTGGTAAGTTTTTCGTTATCAATAAAAACCTGTGTGACCAGACTCTCAATTTAGAATCTTAAGCAACTGCATGAGACTAGTCTTTACAATATCTGTGGGATCATGCATGGTATTAACGAATGACTTATTGCAGTATGCTATTGCATCTCTGATCTCTGTTAGTCCTCATGATTTCATGCAAAAGGTTTGCTGAACAAACCACATCTATCATAGAGGTGGCTGGTAGCCTACACTTTTTTTATTAACTCAATATCTAAAGGCCCTGAAAATTTTACGTCAATTTCATTTTCAGTCAACTGACAGTTAGTGCCTGTTCTAACACGTGAACTCGAAAGTATGAAGGCTGCTTGTAGGGAAATTTACTTATTTATTGCAAGTTGCCGAGCGAGGACTTTCTTAATGCCAATTCACAGCTTGAGAATGACCCTAACGTGTTGATATAGGTGTTTCCAGTGATAATAATTAACAAATTATTATTGGTAGTCAATATTGGTTTTTTCTTTTGTGTGTACATGAACATTTTCGACTCAGACGTCTATTATATTCTAGTTATACATAGAAGTTTAATTTTTTTGAAGATAAAAGGTATATCCTATAAAATGAGATAGGTGCATAACATCTGAAACCAATCCGACTTCTTGAGTTTTTCATGTGAGCTTTTGCCTGAATATTGGCAAATCCAATTGTTATTTGCTACTAGGTTTGGAGGGTTCAGATGCTGGTCTAGCATCAGTGTTGGAGTCCCTGGAGTTCTGTCTGAATCTACGTGGTTCCGAGGCTAGTGTTTTAGAAGACTTGGCAAAGGCAATCAACATGGTCCACATAAGACAGGATCTTGTTGAAAGTGGCCATGCACTTTTAAACCATGCATATCGAGCTCAACAAGATTACGAAAGGTAAAGTTAAATAATTTGCTAGTTGATTTTTATGGAAATTTGATGAAGTAGCATCCCTTGATGATTAAATACTCTTGCATATGTTGTCCTCGCAGTTTAACTTCCTTACTTTTTCATTTACAATTGGTCTTGTTTCCTAAACTCCAATCTGGGACTATTCAGTTGAAACCTTTTCTGTTTTTGGGAATTTCCGGTCATTTAATTATTTGTTGTTAGACAACGCATTCTCATTGTCTGAAACATTATGCAGGACAACAAACTATTGTTTAAGTTTAGCTTCCGAGCAGGAGAAGATTGTCAAGGAGAAGTGGCTTCCTGAGCTTAAATCTGCCAGTTTGGAGGCTCAAAAGTGTCTGGAAGATTGCAAATACGTTAGAGGTTTGGTGAGTAATTATCTCGATTGTCTGTCTTCATGAACTCCCTGGATTTGATCTTTGATCTGTTTTCTGTCAATTATGGGATCTGCCTGGCTTGAGGAGCATTCATAGTTATTCTTTCTCTGGGATGCTATTGCAATTTCCCAAACTAGGCTTCTGTGTGAAGCATGTTTAATTAATCATTCAAAAAATCCAGAGACTAGGCCGCATGATAAAATCGTGAAATTCTCACCTAAGCAAGGAGAATTTCTATTTCGAAAAGGCTTAGTTCTAAAACTATAGAGCAGCTGCTTGTATTTAGTAAAACTAGCTACCCAACCCAATTTGCTGCCAAAGTGAAAGGAGCTATCAGCCCACTGCCTTACTTCCGAACTGTCCTCTTATAACATGTTGAATTTCATGATTTGTTTCTTCTCCGTATAAGTTGAATTCTGCCTAAACTTAACAGCTGACATTTTAATGCAGCTTGACGAGTGGTGGGAACAACCAGCATCCACAGTCGTTGATTGGGTTGCTGTTGATGGGAAAAACGTCGCTAGTTGGATTAATCATGTCAAGCAACTTCTTACATTGTCATGAGGAGTCTCTTCATGAATAAGTAGCTTCACAGAACAGCATCATGCAATGGTTACATACCTTCTCCTTGTTTGGCGAGGCGCTTCAGGTTTTGTTTCTTACCACTTTACTGTCCATAAGGAGAATTTTCAAAGGTTCAGGCTGTTGTAATAGGTATAGGTGTTTGGGATTTTTCTTGAATGTTGTTGCCACTAAGTCGATTGCCTTTTTACGGAGTTTTCACAACTGTTGTGGTTTACCTCACCAACTTTGACTACGTTACTCCTATGTATAGGATGGTTCCTGTTTGTTCAAGATGATGTGTATAATCCAAACTTGGGAAGATACTTGTCTGGTGTGTTATGAATGAGTTTTTGCAGATTAATTTGGTGCCTCTGATGAGTTGCTTTGCAACTTAGCACTTTCTATCTGGATTCCCATTTTTAACCTCGTACTAGCTATCAGGAGTATGCTTTTCCGTTTACATATTTAGAACAACTATTCATTCATATGATCATAGCTCCCAATGTACATTCATTCAGGGGTCGTTTGGAAGTTGCGAATGTTAAATCGTTGTATTGTGATGAATCACCACAATATAAATGCATGTATTGATACAATGGATGCATTTTAACATTATATTGTTTGGTTGTTGAGATTCTATTTTATACATTGATTTACATAAAGTTACTTTTATGGGGAAATGCCACATTTATCCTCAAGTTTTAGAATAAGACAAAAACTATTAGGGATATAAATGGAAAGAAAAAGTTGACACAAATCTAAAACCAACCATCACAACAAATAATGCATCATTTTTTGTGATTGTTGGTGGGACCTACCTAAAACAATGACATTTCCAAACATTGTATTGTGCACAATATATGTATTCAACAATCACAACTCTAACAATCACAACTTCCAAACGACCCCTCAATACGAGAAGACTGCCATCTAGTGGCATCGAGGCTTCTTGTCCATATGCAACAATGTGCCACACCCTTCAGCAGACACCGTGAGAGGGTTAATCACAGCTCCAAGGAACAGCACAATCCCTGACTTTTCCTCCACGATAGTGAACATGAAAGCATGGTCTGCCACAAAGCTAGGAGGGTTCCTCCTCCCGCACTTCCTTATAAATCTCGGCGCAGTGCTTGCTGCAGCCTCTGTCCCTTCCTCATTCACTTCGACAAATGCCTTGTGAAACATCTTCGACAGTGATAGCTTATCCCCTGCTGCTCCACAATCCACCATCTCTGTTAGCTCCCCTGCTTTGAAACCCATCCCCAGTTCCTCCAGGGCCTCCTTAGCTTCCACCTCGAACGAAAACTTGAACCTAGGGATCCAAAGCTGAGGCAAATTTTCCAGCTTCAGCTGATCGGAGTAGTTGTTCAACATCCCAGGGTTGGTTCTGATTTTCTGTACGAGGGTTGGCAAGCTGTCTGGTTCGTCTGGGAGGAAGAAATGCATTGAGAACTGCATACTGTTATCTTCGTTTTCAGGTTCAGGATTCTGGTAGGGGATTTTGAGGACCTTGTAGCCGTCGAACGATTTGTAAAGATGCTTTTGGTTTGGTTTGGTGGTCATGAAAGGAACTGCCACGGTTTCTGGAGAGTTGAGGAGGTGAAAGCTCCTGACTTGTGTTCTTGCTGGGTCGAATTTCCTGTCCCATTGGCCTTTGAAGTAGAGGGCGTTTGCAAGCACTAGTGCGGTATCATCTTCAAGGCTTCCTTGTGGTAGTAGGCTTCTGATGAGCCCTTTCGTCTCCTTCGCTACCCACAAATTGATCTCATCTTCTACTTCTCTTGCCTTCACAGCACAAGAAGAACCATGACTGATCAACCGACCGACAATCTGTACATGTATATGTTGCGTGATAAACAAGATATCAAGTTTAAACGTTCACCTTGCAGACAAAGTCCACTTGTTTGACAGTGGCACGGTAAACTTGCTTGGCAAGTTCTTCAAATGAAGGCTTGAGCTTGAACCTCCGATCCACCCAAGCACTGTTAACGAACGAGATGATCGGGCCACTCGGGATGACATCGTCTCTCTCGTTGTTCACTGTCGATAACATTGGCAGCAGTGTCCTAGATGCCATAGAAGAACTGACTTCTTCCAAGCTTCTGTATCCCAGAACCTGGAGCAACTGCTCCAGTACAGACCCTTTTGCCCCGGCAGCGATTAGGCAGAGCATGGAGTGGAATGAGAAAGGGGAGAAGACAAAGTTTGAACCTTTGCTGCAGGCTTCTTTGAGCATGATGTTGAGAGCTGCATCTAAAGAGAAGCCATTTCTGTTGCTGCTGCTACTGATGTTTTCATCTGTTGGTTGCTGCTGCTCCATGATTGCCTGTTGTGCTCCAATGTTTAATGGGGAGAAGATGAATATGCTTGCGTTCTGAGTTGATAATGTAGAACAAGAATAGTGTGGTAATATAGGGGCATCGATGATTTCAATGTAACATAGGCATAATTAAGGATATATTCGTGGCATTTGCAGCAAATTAAAATAATCTATTTGGACATAGACAGGCATGAGAGAACAATTCAATCAGACAAAAGGCCGGTCAGGTAATTCTAGTAGATTATCGATAAGGATAGATAGAGGATACACCATAAGTCAGAGAACAACGTATTTTTTTATGTCGACTTTGATTTATATCGGATAAGAAAAAGCATAGGATATACCTTCTATAATGTCATGGTCACATGTTGAATATGACATTAGGAGTTCATACAAAACGAGAGTTTTTGGTCCTACTTCGGAACCGAATAATCTCTACTTCAGAATAACATCCATTCTTTAACACAGCTTCAAATCATACCGATTTATTTAAAACCTACCAATACGGCAACGTATCACAAACACACATGGTTTATTTGTAGCTTACAGAACTAAATGCATAATACTATTGTAGTCTCTGATGGCGAACTGAACACTCGTAGCTAAAAAAAACCTTACACATGCTTAACTTCTTGATACGTAAACGGGATGAACTTTACACAGCTAATTCAAGGATCAATGGTGGAGGGAGGATTCGACTTCGATTTGTGAGCGGCATGAGCTGCAGGAGGGATTCCAGGAAACCCCGGCGGCAGAGGAAGCAGAGGAGGCGGGAAGGGGAACGGCAAGACCGGCGGCGGCGGCGGCGAAGGGGTTAGCCCTGGAATCGGAGGAATTGGAAGGAACGGCGCCGGCGGAGGCTGAAGCGGGTTCGGAGGAAGAATCGGGGGCACCAATGACGGCGGCTCCAACGGGTTCGGCGGCAGAGGAAGCGACGGCGGAGACGGCGGCTGCAGCGGATTTGGCGGCAAAATTGGGGGAAACAGAAGCCCTTGTGGCTGACCAGGACGCCCCGATTTCTGATCCGACAATTCATCCCCTTCTCCCTGCCTCAAGGTAGGCTTCTCGTGCTTATTGAAGCTCTTCGCCGGCCACGGCGGAAGGTACGGCAACCGCGGCAGAGTGGGGAGCGGAGGCAGCCGCGGGAGCAAGGGAAGCGGCGGGAGCCGGTTCTGATTCATCTCCGGCGGAGGTACTCCGCCGTTAGGGTTTGTATTCACCGGCGGTGGAAGCGTAGGTTCGTCATCGTCGCCGCCGCCGCCTGGAGACGGCAGCGCCGGGAACCCAGATAAGTCCTTCTGCTCATTGCTCCCTGCTGACGTGGTGGTCGGATTCTGAGAGCAGAGGGTAGGCTGGTGGGATGGCTTGAAAGTGAAGTAACCGGCGGAGTAGATGTGAGAATCAGACCCTAGCTTGCTGTTCCTCGACTTCAGGTGGAGAGACGACGACGTGGCGGTGGATGCCACGGCGCAGTAAGGGTCGCTGCTGGTCAGCAGCTTCACTGAACATCGCTTGATCTTCTTGACCTCTCTGTTTACAGTGAACGGAAGCTCGACGCTGAATTCTCCCAGCTGGTTCGTCTTCACTTCTCGTCTGAACCTCCCATCTTTGCACTCGACTACAACCGATGCGCCTGCAAATGGTGCAAGAGAATTAACAAAAGGCCTCTCGACGCCATAAGAGAAGAAGAAGGAAGCTTAATTTACCTGAGATGAAATGAGTGGGCTTTGAGAAGCGGTTGTTGAAGCAAGTGTCGCAGTAGACAGTGCCGACGACTACTGCCTTTGTGGGGTTTTGTGGGAAGTGCCTGGCTTCTGATGTATGACTGAGGGTAGTGAATGTGAAGGTAAGGAAGAAGAAGAAGAAGAAGAGTGACGTGATTAGCCTGTAGGCCATTTTTGCAGCCATTGTGGAGGAGGGAGAATGATTTAAGGCTGGGTTTGTTATATATTGGTCATAGATATGGTGGAGGGAGTAGGTGTTTTGGAGAGCTCATGGGGTTGGCGCCTGGTTTTTTGGGGTGTGCAGGTGGGAGTTTGGAGTCCTAACTTTGGAGGGTTTATATAGTGGTTTTTGAGTAGGGGAATGCTATTGATGTGATTCATGGGAAAACCAGTCATCTACAAATACCAGCTACTGCAAGTGAGGCCAATAATGGTGGGAAAAAAAATTATATGGTTGGGAATTTGGGATGGTAAATATGACAATTCGCGGCGGCTAAGATGTACAAGTCTCTTGCTTTGTGTTCATTCAGAATGTATGCGAACCGTTCGATTGCGAGTCGAAACACCAACGTGTTACAAGGCAGGGGACGTCTGTGATAATATTCTGTTTCTGTTGAGATGGTAGTACAGTACCAAACATTGATTGTGGAGAATTGGTAAATAATTCCTCAATGCTGTTGAGAATACGTACAAAGTGTTAAGGGATGTGGTTGGGACCGGGTGCTGGTTCACGAGAAGATCAGATAGGCCACAAATTTCATGTGCGCTGCTGCTGGACAAAAGCCAAGCCAAGCCCAGCTGCCTCTCTCTCTCTCTCTCTCGGCATACTTGTGTTGTGTAGCTGCGCTGGTTACTGTGTGTGTTTGTCCATATACGGACTTGTTTGTTGAACTCTGGGTTAGACAAGCTGAACTTGTTTGTTTGAAGTTGAGATTTTCAAGATAGAAACACTGGTCATGTCCTCTAGACATTCTATCATGTTGGCGATGATATGGATATGTATGACAGTATGGGGTTGGAAATCCAAAACTATACAGGGCCTCATCCTCCTCTCTCAACTGCTGCAGATCAGTTCATAGATAGAAGGCAATGTGGCAGGGCGGGCGAAACCATACCTTCAATACCCGTATGTTGGTTCCAATTCTACGACGCGAGGCAGATCATATAAGATTGCGTCAATTGATTCGTGGTGCAGATGATTCGTGGTGCAGATGATTTTCCAACTTCTTGTTTCAGGGCGCATTGGTGCTGTATCGTCAATGACCGTACTATACACATACACTTGAGTCATGATGAGTTGATAAGCTCCTACCTGCTGGCTCTAAACATGAATCTTGGCATTATCACCAGTCACCGCAGCAATCAGTGCATGTGAGTCAACAGTCTGATAACGAAGTTCATCCGCTCTTCCTCGGGACGATATGAGGATTAAGGATCAGGCCAGTTTTTGTGATGGGTTGAGAACGATGGGGAATTCTGTCTATTCTTTCTGCACCAACTCAACTGGTCACGGGTGAGTTAAAAAAGAATGTCCATGTCGCTTTATCAATTGCGTCACCGTAACCTCTTCACGGGCCAATGTTAGCTAATGCAACCATTCGATTATAAACTTGCATCTTGACGCAAAGGTTGATCTTGGTGGGTCAGACTCAGAGTCGTTGATGATACATACGTTACATGTTTTCATATTATAGCATCAATACTGAAAAATCATCGCCAGTGGCGTGTAGGATATCTGCTGCCTTTTCATAAATTGCCTAAAATCGAAAACGACCTGGATTTGGATTTTCTCAGTTACCTTGTCTTCCTAAACTGGCTGTACAATATTTTATTTGCAAACTTGCATAGGAAGGTCTGATTACAGACCTTAACAGGAGGAAAAGAAAAAATCCTTGCTCTCATCATCTGCTAATTCTTCCTTTGGAACCAAACAATGGAGATCAACATGGAGCATCAACTGAGCCCGCGCATCACCAAATTCAACATCAACCCTTGTTCAATCCTCGTCGGACTCCACGTGCTGATGAACAAACTAGCAGCAAAGAACGGAGAAAGATCGAACTTCGCTTTCTCCCCACTTTCGTTCCACTCCATGTTAAGCCTCATTGCTCTGGGCTCAGAAGGCCCTACTCTCAAACAGATGCTTACCTTCATGGGGATCGATGGTGTTGATGAACTCAACTTCTTGGCTTCCCATCTCGTTTCCTCAGTACTGCTACCGCCTGAAAATGACAACGACGACATCAGTCATGGCCCTATCGTATCGTTTGTGAATGGCGCTTGGCTGGATCATCGTTTCAAGCTGAAAGCTCCATTTGAGCAAATTGTGAGAAGTGTCTATCGTGCGACAGCAAAAGAAGTTGACTTTCTCGAACTTGTAAGTTCCAAGTTCTAACCATGTACATAATTTGATGGAAGAGGTTGCAATTCACGCCTTTCTGCGCTGTGTTCCCCTGTTTCATGTTGGCTTAGCCCGATCAAGCAAGAGAAGAGATCAACAAATGGGCAGAGAAAGAAAGCAGGGGACTCATCAGAAACCTCTTACCACCAGATGGTATAGACGAAGAGACAATTCTGATACTCACAAACGCACTCTACTTCAGAGGAACATGGAGCATCCCATTCGACATCTCCAAGACACACCAGAGAGACTTCCACACCTTAACCGGCAGCGCCATCCAAGTTCCTTTCATGGCCACAGACGCCAACCAGAAACACCTCTACGCTTCCTCAAACGACCATCAGGTGGTAAAGATGCCATACCAAACCGGATCAGACCATGACAGCCGCCGTTTCTCCATGTGCTTCTTCCTTCCCAACGCCAGAGACGGGCTGGCTGGTTTGTTGGATAGGATCAGAGCAGAACCCATGATGCTGAACCCACAGGTGGCAGAGAGAGTCGTTTCGCCTGTATGGATCCCGAGGTTCAAGTTCGAGTTCGAGGTTGAGGCTTCGAGTAGTATGATGGAGCTTGGACTGGTGCTGCCCTTCTGTGATATGTATGGGTTGAACGGAATGGTGGAGATAGCGGATGAACCGGTTGTCCTGTCGAAGGTGTTTCACAAGACGATGATTGAAGTGAATGAGGAAGGAACTGAAGCTGCAGGTAGTAGTGCAGGGAGGATTAGAGGACTTCGTTGTAGGTCGGCGGCTCCTCCGAGCTTTGTTGCTGACCATCCTTTTGTGTTCACGATTGTGGAGGAGAATTCTGGTTCGGTTTTGTTTCTTGGAGCTCTGCTCAATCCTCTGTTAGTCAGTTGAAACTTGAAAGCCTAGCAGTAGCAAAGGGCATACATACTCTTCTCTTCTTTTCTTCCAAACATGTGCTGCAAAATGTTAGTGAGCTATGAAGTTATAATCTTTATTCAAGATATGTCATCTGTGAAACCAAAAGTGTCATTACAACAAGCTGCTTTAGTTTACAAACAGAACTCACAGTGGAAACTCAAAAGTTTGGACCTCTCACAATTTATGTCTATACGAGAGAAGAACGAAAAGTTGCTATAGATCCATTCACACGCACAAATGGACTACAGTTTACACACAGATTTCACAAGGTTCTTAGGTTACATAATACAAATTGGCCAAACAAACATAAACCAAGCAAGCAAGAGTGGACTGGCTAGTCACTAGTCTGCTGCTGTAAACTGGTAAGAGGAATAGGAAAGTGTGCCAAGACTCCAGCTCTGGTGGATAAGCTTGGCCTCGGAGCTGTCACCAGCAGCGCCCATTGCAACATGAAGAGGAAAGAAGTGTTCTGGCCATGGATGAGCCTTCTTCGCGTGTGGCGCTTTTACTTCGTAGTGATTCACATCTTCATATCTGCAAAACCCGAAACGAATATGGAAGTTGAAACATATTCCATCAAGAAAGTGCAGTAAACGACTTTCCAAAGCTCGATCATTGTTCTGGATTTTACCTTCCTTCGATGAGGGAGTCCTTAAGCCAAGTATCAAACTGCTGAGCCCAGGGAGCAATGGAGCTATCAGAACTGCCCAGAGCTCTCAAATTGTGAGTAGCTGAGCCAGAGCCGATGATGAGCACGCCTTCCTGTCTCAATGGAGCCAATGCCTTGCCCATGTTGTAGTGATACGTTCCGTCTCTGTCAGACTGAACAGATAATTGACACACTGGAATGTCAGCCTCTGGATACATGAGCATCAATGGCACCCAAGCTCCATGATCCACTCCTCTTTTCTTGTCTTCCACTACTTCATCAAACCCAGATCCGATCAGCAGCTCCTTTACCCTCTTTGCCAATCTGGGCGCTCCTGGTGGCGTGTACCTCAGCTGGTAATCCAACGTCCAAAACCCAAGCTTAGCATTATCAGAATCAAATTGACAAAAAAAATATTCAAAGCTTTTCCCATTTTCTTGCCGAGTATAAGCAAAGCAAACTTGAAACTTCTATCCAGGTTCATGAAGATTCAGAAACTTCAGTTTCAAGACTACCTGGTTGAGGTTAAACTATGTCAAGACCCATCAAAAATCAAACACAGAACCTCCACACACCAGCCTCTCTAATCTACACTATACCCTCAGAGACCCTAATCTTAAGCCTAAGATCGCACACAATTGAGTATTTCTCAACGATCACAGACCAATTCTCGGTTGACGAGGGATCAAAGGGATTGCAAGAGATCGAGAGAGAGAAGGGAATAGTTACCTCATACATCTGTTTGGGGAAGCCATAGAAGTCGTGAATGGTGTCGTTGCGATCAACGACGTTGACGGAAGGGAGTTTGGTGTCCCAGTGGGCGGAGATGATGAGGATCGCCTGGGGTTTCTCCTTTTGGTATACCTTCTGCTCCCAGGATTTCAAGAAATGCCTGGCCGGCAGAGAGTCGTCGATGGAGAGCGTCGGGGAGCCGTGCGATATGAAGAAAGTCTCGGCTATTGCCATTGCCGATTCTCTTTTTGAGGTGGATGATGATATCGATTTGAGTGCAGGGAAGATCGGAGGCTGGTTCTTGGTGCAATCCGATCTCCTGTCGACAAAATTTATTTATAGGAGAGGAGATAGGAACAAGAAACCTGGCCGCGGCCGGTTTGACTTGGATTCACCGGCAATCGTCACAGTCACCAACGTCATCGCTGACTACTCACCGTGGGATTTTTTTTCAAATTAATTGTGAAATATAAATAAAAAAAACTTTCTTTTTTCCTTGTACTCGTGGTTCGCGTGTCCCAATTTCGGATTCTTAGCGTCGACGGTGACCGGTGGCGACTGGCCGACTACCGATGGAGGGGTAACGTAAATCGAATAATCGAGTCCGTCAGCTCTGCCGGCCATGTGGTAACCAGGTCCATTCGATCTGTAAGAAAGGGATAACCATTGTACACACATAAGCCTCCGGATCGGATAGAATAACAACAACCTTATGGTTGTTATAGTTAGGGGTGGCAATCGGTCGGTTTCGGTTTAACCGAAAACCGAAAATTCGGTTATCGGTTAAACCGAGCCACACCCTATACCTGCCGACCACCGACCGTGAGAGAAGTCACGGTTAGTCGGCCAACCGACCGGTCGGTATCGGTTTTAGGCTCGATTAGCCGGCCAACCAGAAAATTACCTTTTATACAAAAAAAAAAAAAAAATTAAAAGAACAAAATTTTTGAACCACTCATTTCAATCCTTATCTTCTCCTCTCTCCTTCCTTTTCCAACAGACCACTTTCTTCTCTCTCCTTCCTTCCTCCTTCCTTCCTCCACCAAACACAGGCAAATGGCACTCCGCCAAATCATACTTCCCCTCGCCGCCCTTCCTGTAGCAGTACGCCGGCAGCGACCTCACCACCTCCGGGTCGAGCCCTTTCTTCTGGCTGCCGCGGTGGTAGTGATTGCCGACTTCCGCCGCCGACGACCCCGCTACGGCGACGTCGCTGGAGAATCTGCGGATGTACAGGGAGAACAAACCCACGAAGAAGATGGCCGTCAGCAGCAGCAAAATCGTCAGCGCCATGGACGAATCTATGGTCCGGTAGTTGTCCGGGTAGTGCAGCATCTCCGGCGGCGTTTCGGGAAACGGCGGAGGTAATAAGACCGAGCCGACGAGGTGAGCAAAGCTTGGGGAGTTCTTTGTGGGGGAGGAAGAAGAAAAAGTGGAGATGAGGTTGAAGGAGGTTGTGGCTGGGATGAGGAGAAGGGTTTCTGCAATTTTGGGATGGGGAGAAGGGGAAACGATTAGGTTTTTTTATTTGATTTGGGGTGAAGGGTTTTTGTAATTTTGGGATAGGAGAAGGGGATTTTCGGTGAGGGTCGGTTATCCGGTTAGCCGCGGTTAATCATTCCCGGTTATTCGGCTAGCCGAAGCCCTCTGATGGGCATCCGAACACCGACCGAGGTCGGTTTTTGTCGGTTTTCGGTTAGTCGGTTTTGGCCGGTTTTCGGTTATAACCGGCGGCTAACCGCTAACCGGCAACCGATTTGCCAGCCCTAGTTATAGTAGCAATAAGGATAAAAGGGTAAACTCACATAATATCTAACAACGAAATATCAATTAAAAGATATTTACCCATCCCTACCTACCAAATCTCGTTTCTCCTCCGCTCCGACCCCAAATTCCGATATGCATGCAACTCCGCCGATCTCGTTTCTCCTCCAGCTCCCCCGCCACGCTTCTTCCCTCCATCGTTGGAAACAGGCTCTGCCAATTCTCCTCGTTGATGGCCTCCTCCGTCGTTACATCTCGTGACGACGACGCCTCTCATTGTCATCGACCTACACGTCCAACGCTGCTGCGGGGAAGATCTGCTTCTCTCCTAGCAGTTGGAAGGAGTTTGTTCCAGTCTTGGGACTTCGCTGATTGGAGGGAACCGGGAAGGAGAGGTTTATCTATGAGTCTAATGAAGTAACCTATGCGAGGCGAATATGCGATACGATTCAAGAAAGGGTTGATTTTCCTCAACCACCATGAATCTTCGAGGTTTTAAGGAATCAACAGGCTATAAAAGCCCCCAGTTTTGTTGCTACTCGATTTCGATCAAAATAACTATTCAAAGTTGCCATCACCCTGACTTGGATTTGTAACTCCACAGTATTAAGTTTGTCTGTCTACTGAAATTTCCAAATGGAGACCACAGTAAAACAAATCACAAAAAACTTACCTGAAATTTTCTAATGCAGACCACAAATCTCCTAAAATATACAAAAACCCCACAAATATTTCATAAACGCAATAGAAACATCCTAATGCAAATCAGAAATACGATAAAACAAACCACAAAAAGCATACCAGAAACCTCCTAATGCAGACCACAAATTCTCTAAAACAAACCAGAAACCCCACAAAGCATACCACAAATATTTCATAAGCACACTAGAAATTAACCTCCTAATGCAAACCGCAACCACGACAAAGCAAACCACAAAAAGTAAACCAGAAACTCCACAAAGCAAACCAGAAATATTTCGAAAGCACACGAGAAACTTCTTAATGTAGACCACAAACACAATAAAGCATACCACAAAATGCATACAAAAAACATGAGAAAGCAAACCATAAATCTCACAATGCATACCACAATATCCGGTGATTGTTGACCGTTGACCAAACTTCGACGCCTATCACTGATCGAATTCCGCATCGATAAGCATATTTTGGCCCCGATGACTAGATTTCGCCAACGATGAGTATATTCTACTCATCTTAAGCATATTCCGGTGACAGTCCACATATCCTAACAACCGTGGACTGGATTCTGGCGACCGGTGACCAGATTCTGGCGACCGATGGCCGAAGTCCAACAACCGAATTTATAATTATTTTATTTTTTATTGATTAGTTAAACATAATATTCACAATGACTATTATACTCTTTCATTGTTTTTACACTAGGTCAACCTAGCTAATGAAAAGTAATCACAATCCTAACTTCATGTTGGTTGGATAGTGTTGTCACCCTATCCAATCCCCCATCAGCGGCGGATCTAGGGGGGCCGCCCCCGGGCCGCGGCCCAGCCCTCCCTCGATCCAGAGCTAGTATAGCACGTGTAAATTTTCGATTTTTGGTGTTCGTTTAGGTGTTCGTTCCAGTGTTTGTCGTGTTACGGCCCAGCCTTCTCTACTTTTTTCCAATGTGGCCCAGTGCTCTACCCAATCCTGAATCCGCCATTGTCCCCCATCCATCATCAATATCAAATTTCGACATTGTTATTCATCGGGATGCTTGTAGTTTAGTCTAACCTTAGGGGCACATCACCAAGGTATTTCGAACATGTACTTAGTAGAGCTCCTATTAGCTCGTAATGCACTACTATATCTCCCGATCAACCGACAACCATCATATTCGCAATGTGATTAATTTTTTATCGAATGTCAGGGTGATTACTGAAGGTGACTATGAGGTCTTCATTTTCCTGCTTCTGCAGAGGGTGCATTTAGATTCCTTGGGAGGATCGATTCTTCGTCATTGTCTTCAATTGTTTTCCTCCTTCTCTCACGTCTTAGACTTTAGGTCAGTTTCATGAATTGCAAATGATGGCTGTCGGTAGATTGGCGTGAGAGGTCCTGGTGTTGCACGTGAGCTTCATATAAAGTTATCTTATTTCGACTTTGTACGTTGGCTTCTGTAGCTTTTCAGTTAAGGGTGTAACTATGTAAGGGAGTCTAGGGTTGATTATTTGTTTAATTTCTTTTGTCATTTCTCTAGGGAAGAAATATGGAAGAGGAAGGAGTGCGGAGAGCAAAGTCGATTAGAGAGGTTCTAGAGATGTTGTAGCTAACATGAGAGACGTTGATAACCTACAATTCGATTAATATGTATGTAATATTTGTGTAACCACTCAGAGGGAATGATTGAAGGTTTTTGAAGGCTTTTGCGGTTAATTTGGGTGGAGGGTCAATTACACACGCCGAGCTCGCAGGGATCGTTCATGGCCTCCGTTTGGCTTGGAATGAAGGGCTACGCAAGTTGGTCGTTCAGACGGATTCTGCTGTCGCGATCAACCTTATCCAGTCAGTCCCAGAGCGCAATCCACATCATGTCCTCGTAGCTGAGGCGAGAAGGCTGCTGCACATGGATTGGGAAGTTCAAATTATCCACGTTTTTCGTGAGAGCAACTACGTTGCTGGCTACTTGGCCTCTGTAGGCCATTCTTTACTTGTTGGAGTTCATATTATCGACTCACCGAGCCCTACCCTAGGTTACTGGTTATATTTTGGTCGAATTGGAGTCCAGACGACTCGTTTCGTTAATAATTAAGGGTTAGAAAATCAAAATTATGCTCATACTCGTTCGGGTTTCGGGTATCCACGGTTATCCAAGAGTAATAATTTCTCTTCATATCTCCAACCAATATGTTAACATTCACACATATTCACACATTACATAAGAAGAAAAATATGACAATAATTCACTAGAATGAAGAAAATTAATTAAAACAACATAATTTCATAAAAATATTATATTTATATGCTAAATATAAAATATGTTAGAGAAATATAATGATTATTTTTAGACAAAATACATATGCATGTGTATAATCGGGTGGGTTTGGGTTGGATAGAGAGAAACCATGCCCACCCATTACCCATAATATTCGGGTTCGGGTTTTACCCGTACCTACTAAATGTCCTTCAGGTTCGGATTTTAACCTACCCAATTAGGCCGGATTCGGGCAGATATCCACGGTTACATATAGTTTTGCCATCCCTACTTAGGCTGTCAGCCTCTCCCCTCTCTTTTTTCTAACAGAATTTTCTTTCTTAACCCACAAGTAACATTAATTAAACATAAAACAACTATCAATAAAAAATCCTAATCATTCATAAAAAAAATCCTAATCTAACTAGACAAATTTAATAAATTAATAAGATAAATCATGTGAAAATAACAAGTAAATATGAATAATAGAATAAAGATACGTCTAAAATATCATATTAGTCACACCGACTCATGTATGTGACAATCATCACCATTGAGCGCAACTTTGTCCTTAAGGTTGGTCATCCTCAAAGACAAAATCTCCCTCTTCCTCCTCCTTGCGGTTCCCAATTATGAGCATCACTTGAGCATTCTCGATCATCGCAATGGAAGCATAGCCCATTGACCCTTTTCTATGCCATTCTCTTTTTATGATATCTTTGTCAAGAACAAGTTGCTCACAATAACTCGAGTTGCTGGGAGAAGGTTATGTTGGATCTTATACAGGCTCATGTATGATACTTAACCACTTTCTTACACGCCCCTTCAAACGAAAGCCGACTTGAAGTTTGCACATGCCCGCCATACCATGTGCTTGAAAGACAATGATTAATATTGGGGGTTGTCAGGACTTGAACACGTGACCTCATAGACAAACCAGCTCTGATACCATGTCAAAAACCAGTTGCTCCCAATAACTCGAGTTGTTGGGAGAAGGTTATGCTGGATCTTATACAGCCCCATGTATGATACTTAACCACTTCCTTACAATCCTTCGAGCAATAGGATTGCGAAGCGAGCCACGTGTGCTTGCACAACTAATGGTGCAGATGTTGGTTCTTGAGCTATGCGTGAAGTATTTCTTTGCACAGTTTGAAGTTTCGTCAACTCTTCATTCTTCAACTTGGTGAGTCAATTCGTCTCTCACACGGTCTCTAGAGGAAACATGCAAACAACATCATAAATTTTCTGTTTAAACCCTCCAATAATAATCCCACCAAAGTCTCCTCGATCCAATTTGTTTAATCTTGGCATGTTTTACATGGCTAGACGCTCCTTCATATGGCCCGAATCGATCTTATGGTTCCTCTTAAAATTGGGGCCAAGTCATTGCCAATGCAAAAGTTGCATACGTCCTCTCCAACCACTCAGTTTGGGCCAATTTTGGCATGAACACCCTAGCTCAACCGCTTGAGCCTGCTGGCCTATGTGCCTCGCCATAGTCGTGAAGACTAGTGTCACTATTTTCCATCTCGTCTACATGCGCAATCAATCCCATGACCTTTGAGGCCATCATGTTTGGCCGAGTCCACTGTTTGACGCCCATTCTGCTCGTGCTCCTACTTCCGACCATTGTCAACGATCCACAACCTGGTCCGAGAGCCAAAATGTCTTCCTGCGCAACTCCTCCTCCTATCATAATGCTTGTTTTCCTCTTCCAAATCTCTTTTCCTCTAGCCTTAAGCCGTTGGCCTCCACCATCTGCTTTTTCTAATCGACTCACCTTCCTAACCAACAAGTAACATCAATTAAACATGAATAATTATTATAAGAACTCCAAATCCAACAAGAATAATTGAAATAATAAAAAAGACAAATAATCCCCAAATCATAGGTAAATATGCATAACTAAATAAATATACGTTAACTTATCAGAGTAGTCACATTGGCTTGTATACATGACATCAATGCTCTTTTGTATGGACATTTGAAGGAAGTTTATATGCAGTTTCCAGCACTATGACCACAATGGTTTGTCAAACTAACCACCTCCCTCTTAAAGCATGCTTTATTGCAATAATCAAAATACTACTTTAGTTCCTCAAGTTAGGGAGGAAGTGTTTTTTATTTGTAAGAAGACAAACGCAAGAGCGCCTTCATCATATATTAATAACTCGAGGTTGGGAGATTCCCATTACATCATAATCAAGCCATCTACAAAGATCAAAGTTCAACACATCAACATGATGTGTTCCAAAAGTCAGGCCATGGCCTAAATTAGCAAGAAAATCAGCAGTCTGATTTCCTTCTCTGTACACATGTGAGACAGCGACGTCCCAATCACGTTCCAAAAGATGGTTAACTTGTTTTTCCAGTAATCCATGTCGATGATCATCATCAGAGCGGTCCCAAATGATAGCAATAGTAATAGTAGAGTCCATCTTAAGCTGCACTTTTCGATAGCCTTTCTCCCAAGCCAGCTGCAAACCAACAATTGCTCCTTTGAGCTCAGCAGCAGCAATCGAACATTTACCCACATTGGAGGCGAATGCAGTACAACATCTACCCAAGAAGTCGCGAATAAGGCCTCCAGCAGCTGCAAATCCTGAGGGAGAGAGGACAGAGCCATCAAAATGAACTTGTACCCATCCCTAAGGTGGAGGCCTCCAGCGAATCTGTTCTTCTTTTTTCTCAACAGGGGGTCTGAAACTTCTCTCCACATTCTGCAGTGCCATTTTGTAAATCTTGAACCAGGCCTCAATTCTGCAGATGAGGAATTTTTCCACATACACCTTCCCATCCATGCACTCTTCATTTCTTTGTTTCCGTAGATGCAACACAATAAGGCCAAAGTCAACACTATGAGTCTTATCACTCAAATTGATTGACAACCACTCCTTAAAAGGCAGGTCCCTGTTTTTGCAATTGACTTTGGAACTGAACTTATCCCAAATAGCTGCTTTTTTACTGCATTTTCTCAGGATGCATGTGTTATGTTGTTTCTCCACGTCTTTACAGTGGCTGTCTGTAATTACCATCAGTAATCATCTTCCTCTTGACTCGTTCCTTGTTAGCGAGAAATCTGTCATGCATCACAAGTCAGAGGAAGTGTTTTGTACGACTTAGCCCTTTCCTCTTCCAGAGTTTCTTCCACATTGTCTCTCCTTCTGTGTCCACTTGGTCAGCTGCGAGGTTATAAGCTGACTTCAGCCTGAATCTTCCATCCCTTCCCAGTGCCCCAAATGTTCTTATCTTCTCCCATACTACTTTTTGGAGGCTCCATGCCAGCGATCAGAGAGATAATATTGGGGGGAAGCCATTCATGGAGCTTCTGCCAGTTCCACTCTTCATTATCATCAGTCCACTCCGCCACAGAAGAGTCCTCCTATTGCAGATCAGCAATCTGCATGATGTGGTCTCTGTGAATGATATCATGGTCCAGCCACGGGTGATTCCAAAAAGTGGTTGTTCTTCCATTTTTTATGCTCCAACAGGTCACACTCTTCATAAGGGGCATTGCCTTCACGATAGCTTTCCACAGTGAGGAATGATTGCTCATTTTCATTGCCACAATCTGCCCATCGACATGATTGAAATACTTTTCTTGCATCACCTGCACCCAACGGTCAGAACCATTATTAAGGATTTGTTAGGCAAGCTTGATCATGAAAGCCATATTCAAGCTCCTAGCAGTTCTTAATCCTAGGTCCCCTTGGTTCTTAGGTCTACACACTTTCTCCCAGTAAATCATGTGAACTTTCTTTTTGTCTTCATTAGAGCCCCAAGCAAACCATCTGATCTTTTTATCGATCAAGTCACAGACAGAAGCAGGGAGCAAGGTAGTTTGCATGGCATAAGAAGGAGTAGCATTTAGCACAGAAAGGGCGAGGGTCACTCTTCCAGCTAAAGAGAGGGTTCTGGCTTTCCACGAAGATAGTTTATGGTCAATTTTATCAATGATATATCTATAAGTGTTTCTATTTATCCTCGAATGGATAACAGGAACACCACGGTATCTTCCTAAGCTAAGGTAGACTGAATGTCTAACCTATCACAAATGTTCTTCTTATCCCTATCCTTAGTGTTATTAGAGAAGAAAATCATGGATTTTTTCTTGCTTACAAGCTCTCATGAAGCTAAGCAAAATCTCTCAACACATCTGTTGATGACATCTGCTTGTTTCAGGGAAGCTTGAGCAAAAAGGACAAGGTCATTCGCGAAAAAAGGTGAGACAGGTGAGGCCCTCCAGGGGAGAGTCTCAAAGGGTTCCACTTTCTAACTTCTTCTAAGATGCAGTGTCCTAATCTCTCAACACATAAAGTAAAAAGGTAAGGGGAAAGGGGACATCCCTGTCCGAGCCCTCTGCTTGGCTTGAATCTCTGGATTTCTCCACCTTCCCACAAAACTTGCATTTCCACCGTAGTGGCACACTTCGTGATTATCTTGATCATGTTGTGAGGGACTCCCGCCAAGGTAAGAGTTTCCTCGAGGAAATCCCAGTCCTGCCTATCATATGCTTTTGCCATGTCCAGCTTGAGCAACATCATGTGGGAGCTACTCAGTAGGGGATATGAAAATAGCGAAGGTACATTGTAAAAGGAAATTTTGAATCGAAGATTTCATACCATTGAAACAAATATTACTTGGAAAGAAACACAAATTAGAATAAGGTTTTAGTTTCCCGAAAAAAGTATTGTTTGCAAGCAAAAATAATGCAAAACTACCATTGATATGAGCATGAAACTAAGTGCCATGAAAGGCAACCACTTGACTAACTTGGATATTTATAATAAAGTTGATCCATGTCATTAGGGGTGGGCATTGGGTGGGTCGGGTGGATTTTGACCATAAAATGCACCCACCCGCGCTTAAACGGATTGATAATTTTTAACCCACCACCCACCCACATTTAGTCTCGGGTTGGGTCGGGCGGATGGTGGATGATTTGGGTGGGTTTGTGGGTTCACCCACATCACAATGTATATAATATAAAGGAGTCAACTTGACATGATAATAGGCGAAGAGAGTTATCTGGGGAAACAAGAAGATGAAATAGGGCGAAAAATGTCGAATTAGTTCTTAAAATGGATAGAAATTCTATTACGAAAGAGTTTTCTACAGATTGAGATGATTATCAGGTGCAAGGAACTAAGAAAAATAATTCCACAAAGGAAAGAGCAGTGATCTAGGCACAAGAATTAGAGGAAAAAATAAAGGGAAGAAGAGGGGATCGCTATTTGGAAGGTCGGCTTTGAGGTTCAAACTCCAGGAGGAGTCCTAGTTTATGTCTAACGTCTCCACTCTCCCCTCTCTAGCGCCGAAGACTTTGATCTTTTTGCTGTTGGGTTGAGCGGGTCACCCGCGCACCCACCCACAACCCACCCACCACCCGACGGATGGCTCCCAGCGCAACCCGTCACCCACCCATAGACCCACCCACTTAACGAAATTTGGGTCAAATGCGGGTGGGTCGGCCCAAACCCGCGGATGATCCGCCCGCATGCCCAGCCCTACATGTCATACGAAAATTCAATGAGTTTTCTATTTTTCTATAAATACGAATTCTCCCTCAATAATTTTAAGTAGCCCACGATACCAATATGTCTTTAAGTTTTTTCTCCTCGAGGACTTGTGCCAGGTCTCACCAAGAACAATACTTGAAACTACATGCTCCCTAGTGAGAGACACTTCAAAGGGTCGCTTCTTCTATTTTTTAACCCACACTTTTTGTGGATGTGAATTGATCTAGAGAGTTATTTTATATATGTTTTGAAATACACAGGGAGTAATTTTTAGATGTAAGCCCTAGGAATGAGTATGTATCCACAAAAATAAAAAATTAACGGGAGATAGATGACATATAGTGCCCTATAAAGGTTTCGTGATTTTGCTCAATAGTGAGTCCAATGCAAACTATAATGCTTATTGCTTAAAGTACTTGGTATAGACGCCTAACCACCCCTAATACAAACTCCAAACAAATATCAAGTATGTTTTCTGCGTATTTTAATTCTTAATTAGTTTATATAGATAATTTAGTTATCGTTTATACTCTATCGACCTCACAAACTTTGCTCTAATTTTAACTCCTATTATTTGAAACCAATCTAACCATCCTCACCTTAGTGAGTAGCTAATTAAATGGTAAGCAAATTTATTTTTAGTATTTATGGAGAGTTGATACACCAATTTGGTCGAAAAAATACAGTGAGTTGTAATTATTCTAAAAGTTGGGCAAAGCCTAGTGTACGTTCAGACGTACCTAGCCTATCGTACGCCTGTTGAGTTTTTCTATTTAGACAATGAATTAACCGGAGTTTGGGGCATGATATTATACCCTAACCCCTAATGGGTGAACCCCAGTTCGCAATTCACTAACCCAAAGCATAATATCATTTAATCTTGAAATGAAAATCAATGGTTCTGATTCGTCAAAATTATTGTTGATTTTCATTTTAAGATTAAACGAATATCATGATTTGGGTTAGAAAACTAGGGACTGGGGTTTATCCATTAGTGGTTAGGGTATAACATCATGCCCAAAACTCCGGTTAATTCATGATCTACATAACAAAACTCAATGGGCGTACGGTAGTCTAACGTACGCCCGATCGTACATGAACCCTAAAAGTTGGTATATTGCATTAATAAACGTACCAACCAAGTAAAAAAAACAACATTAAGAAACGCAGTTGAGTGATTGATTTGTCACGACCCTAAAGTTAGTGGCCATCGCATGTAATTGTCCCAAATTGCTCCGTATCACTTTTCTCGTCTCTCCCCCACCGCCTTTCTAACTGATGAGTGTGTGTCTAACTGGCAGAAGTTTCCAAGCAGCCTATAAAAATAAAACCCAAATCTCCGACGCAAGGAATTCGTGTTCTGATCCCAAAATTCCTCATCCCTTGCTTTCGCCTGGCCGATAATGGAAGACCACTTGACCAAACTCCACCGATGTCTCTTCGAATCCAGCTGCTCGTCCTCCGATTTCCTGCACTCCCTTCGCTCGGACACTTCCATCGCCATCGCCCTCCAGCACTTCTACTTGATTCTCAAGCGGGGTGTCTCCATCATCGTCGTCGAAGGAGAAGAGCATGATGATGGCGAGAGTGTCGAGGATAAGAAGTTAGGGTTCCAGTTATGGACCGATTCACAGATTCAGTCCGTCGTCTCGTTCGGCCTCGCGATCGTCTCCGCTTCTAGATCTTTTTCAGGTACTTTTTCCTGTTTGAAGACAGTGCGGAAGTACCTGTTGTCAAGTTCAAAGAGTTTATTTGTTCTTGCTTAGAGGCTCTTGGTTGTTCTGGCTAGGCTACGAAAGCACTGCCAATTTTGTTTTTTGAGCTCGCAAGTACTTAACTAGTTACTGATTGGTGTTCTTTCTTTCTTGGTGGTGATCTTGTGGATAGTTAACCAAGCGGAGCCAGTACTGATCGCTGTTGTGCAACAATTGTTGGAGTTCGCTGTTTGTTACTTGGAGAAATCAGAATTCTGCAATGACGAATCAAGTATACAGGTAGGTGGTTTTCATTTTGGTTCTTATATTCTTTATCGGTTTCTTGATTCCCTACTTTGCGACTCAATAGGTATTCTTTAGGAAGCCTTTGAATTGAAAGCATTGGACGAATATAATCAGTGGCTAATTCGATATAATTTTCCATTTCCGACTGGTGCATTAGCGCTTCTGAATTGCACATTTTTGCAGGAATGACTGAGACCAGGGAATCTGTAACTAACTGCGCTGTTGAGCTGCATAAAATTTTAGTCTGTTTTGTTGGTCTGCATGTAACTTATCAATGTGTTTGGATGATGATTGATGATGGGTGATAATAATCAAGTTATTAATGAGAAACCAAGAAATAACCCCTCACATGCAAAATTATATAAGATCCCCTTATGATCAATCAATTCCATTTTTTTTCTTTGACAAGAAAATTCCATAGAATTGAATATATGATTGTATGTGTTATAGCATCTACTATACGAAGAATATCAATGAACACGATTATTGGAATGGTTCTAAGATACCCGTTTTTAGTTTCTAGTATCTATTTCTGATTTCATCGACCTTTATTTGGACAATGAGGTGATGTACGTTGATCAAAATGTTTTCGTGTTTTTCTTTTTGCTGTAAAATTGATTAGAATTTAGGATTAGCAGCTATTAATCAAACACATTTAAAACTTCATATATTATTAAATATATGTATATTTATGAGCAGATAGTGTTAGGCCTTCAGATATGTTATCTGTATCTTAAAGATGTTGCAGACAATTTGTTTGCCACCATTTCCACTTGGACAGTGGGTTTTGGTGCTTTGGACTGCACAGCATTAGAAGATAGTACTTTATAGTCGGTTGAAGATGCAGGGTAACTGTAATGCGATCATTGCGTGCAGTTGAAAGCGCAATGTACAGTCATTTGTTAATTCCACAATGGATGAAAGTGTTAACCCATTTTGTTTATTTCTCTCCTCTTCATGGTGACTGCTACGTCTAGCTCCTAGTTGTCACTAGAATTCGGGCATTTGAGTTTGGATCATTCCTTTCATTGTTTTGACCTAGTTTTTGCTACCATTTGATTGTAACGTTGCTTTTGTGACATATAGTATGTTGACCAGGGCTAGGGGAACATGGCCTTTTTGTTCTTTACTTCTTAGAGTGTTTGATTGTGTCAATTCTTTCATAAAATGTTGTATAGCTATAATTACAAACTTATAAGAATTTTGTTTTCTTTTTTTGCAGATTAATTTGATACTACTCATGGAGTTGGCTTTGGTGAAAGAAATAGATAAAGTCCCTGACAGGTCTTGCCCTCTAAGTTGCATTTTAGAATTGTTGCCAGTTGTGTCTGGTGGTCGCTGTGATGTCCAGTTTGATAGCCATATAAAATGCATCCTCCAAGGTACTTTCTAAAAATGTTCTCTTGTTCCTTCTTTGTGGGTTAGTCTTGTTGGTATATGTGGTTTCTTACTTTCTTTTCTCACCTCTTTTCCATCCTGAGAAGGCTCCAGTTGCTTGAGGGCGGAGAAACAGGTGGATCGACTACTAATGACACTAGAGACTGAATATCTTCAAACTGAGGGGCAAACTTCTGGTTTCAATGGACCCATACATGCTACGAGTAACTTGATATTTGCATCTCAACATTGGGCTCTAATTCATTTGGGTTTTGTTCGGCGTCTTATTCCTCATTGCACACAGCTGATTGAACGGGCAGATGTGCATGGTGAGAAGGTGTCAGCTGCCAAATTTTCTGAGAGGTTGTCTTTCAGTTTGAGGATTCTAAGGTTACTCAGAAGCATTGTGAAGGAAAACCCTTATGTTGAGTATGATGCCTACCTATTGGAGCAAGTTGCTTCATTGGCTGATACTCTACCTGGTGTCTTTAGACACAGGTTTGAATTTGCTGATAACCAAGGTGCCGCAGAGAGCGACTTTGAGAACCTTGTATTATATCTACTAGAAGAGTTCCTTCATCTAGTCCAATCCATATTTGGCAACAGCAGCATTTCTCAAAATATACAGGTGTGTATTGTGGCTTCCATATTAGACAACTTGGACTCTTCTATATGGAGAAATGACAAGTCTGCTGTCAGTCCAAAGCCACCTTTAGTATATTTTCCTCAAACTGTTGTTCTCATGTTGAGAATTGTTCAAGATGTCAGAAGGGCAATCAGTCAGGGTCATAGGTCCAAGGAACTTGACAGAAATCTCATTGGAAGCTCTTCCGATTTCCCAAACAAACCTCCATCATGCCATTTACGCCTGAAGGAAGTTCCTTTGACGAAGAGTTTAACAACTGAGGAGGCAATGAGAGTTATATTTACCTCATCGGCTCAGTGGCTGGATAATCTAATACAGCTTATTATCTTCCTTCATCTGGAAGGTATGAACTTCAGACCAAGAGTTGAAAAATCACAGTCCAGCAGTGTCAAAGCTAATTGTGCAGTAGAACTGGAAAATGCAGCATGCCACGAGGATGAGGCTCTTTTTGGTAACCTTTTCGCTGAAGGTAGCCGTTCGGTAGGATCAGTGGAAGTGTATGATCAGGCGCCAGTTGCTCTCAGTTCTTTCTCCAACAGTTGCAATTTGCCAATGCAAGCAGCCAGTGAGTTGTTGGGTGTTCTGAAAGATGTTATCTTCTCTCAAGAATACCATACTCTGTATGAGGATGGCTGTAAAACGATAAGAAAGAATCATATAAATGCCTTGCTCTCTCTCCTTAATTGCCAGGAGTGTGGTTTAGAAGACAAGTCATCTGATGGTTTTGCCTCTGCGCCAGATGAGGGAAAAACTGGTAATATCCATGAACTATGCCTTGAGCTTTTTTGCAGTCTTCTCGCTCAGTGCACTATGTCAGCTTCCCTTGAAGAGAACCTTGTTGAACAAATTTTAGCTGTTGAAAATGGAGCATTTGCTTACAGTGATCGAACTCTGATGTTGTTGGCTCAGACAGTGTTTAGTAGAGCTGGTTCTGATGGTGGCAGATTGAGAACCAGACTGTATGGAGTGTTTGTGGACTTTATTACTGATAAGGTAAAACTTGTTTGTACAAACTGCCCCGATTTCAGGAAACTTCTTCAAGCTCTTCCGTCAGTTTTTCACATGGAAATTCTCCTAATAGCATTCCATTTGTCATCTGCGGAAGAGAAGGCCAAGCATGCTGACTTGATATTTTGTTCCCTTCGAGCAATAGGTGGACCCTCTCATAGTTTTTCCTGCTCGCAATTATCCTGCTGGGGATTATTAGTTTCAAGATTCGTCTTACTACTGCGACATATGGTTTTCTACGCAGATACTTGTCCATCATCATTGCTTCTAGATTTACGATCAAAGTTGAGGGATGTCCCCTTTTGTGATCCACTTCCTACTGGTGTAAATGATGAGTTATTGTCCTGGGCATCAATTGCAGCAAAGAGTGTATTGGGTGCATTTGTTGAGGAAGAGTCTACAATCAGCTGTTTGATCAATCAATTGGTTGATATTTCAGCCCTTCCGCCTTCACTTTCTAGGGACAAGTTGGCCATCACATCTTTGACCCTGAACTGCGATGATCTGTGCGATACATTCTCGCTGATTCTTGGGTACTGGAAAGGTAGAAAGACTAGTTCTGTAGAAGACCTGCTGGTTGAAAGATACATCTTCATGCTGTGTTCGGATGTACCTATGAAGAAGAACTCGGAAGACAATCAACTTCTTCTGTGGAGGGAGCCTGGGGCTATAGACATGTCTGATATTGGCTTCTTATTTCACTTCAGCAATGTTGTTATGGGCTGCAGTCTTGACAGTGGGATTGTTGATGACCTTCAGGCTGCTGTTTTCAGTGCACTACAACACATTTCTGCCATGAATATACCAGAGGACGTTGAGGAACTAGGTTGGGATTTCTTGAGGAGCAACATGTCTCTATCGTTTATACTTTCTTTGGTTAATGTTGGTTTGACCAGACATGAAAACAAGAGAAAGGACACTGAGGTGGGTTTATTCTTGGTTAAAGACGCAACTTATGATGATGTACATTACCTCACAGTTGCTGAGAAGCTGGTTTCATCCTTGATTGGCAGAAATTTGCTTGTAGACTTGTTGTCCTCCTTGTTGAAGATCTATCTGAAGGCTCACCAAAAGGCATTTCTTGCCACCCTTAGTAGTAGCCAATATGATCCTGAGGACTTATCACCTCTATTACTCCTGAAACTTTCCAAGTCCGAAAAATGCCTGATGGATGAGATTGTTAGGAAAAGTGGAATAAGCTATCGCAGTCTGGACTCCGCTTTTAACATTTTGACAAAGGTGGATTCTTTGGTCAATGAAACAGCTCTAGGAATTCGGAGCAAAGTATTTTGGGAATGTGCATTGCATGGTTTTCCTTCTGATCTTCGGACGCCAAGTGCCATTCTTCTCTCTTGTGGTATCAGCATAAGGGCTATTATTACGGTTTTAGATAAGTTGCTTGGACTTGAAAGTTTGAGCGGGAAAATTATCTTGGAATCTGAGGTTCACCAACAGCTTCTTAGTTCTGTGATGATGGTGAAGTTTGATCGGATTTTTGAGAGCCTTGCTGGAAGATGTGACACAGTTCTTGGTAACCTTAATCCTGATTTTGCCTTATCAGATGGTAGTGATTTGTTTCTGCTGACATACATGGGGAGCTTTTTGAAGCACCAGAATGCATCAGAATCAAGCGACAGTAGCGTACTTGAATGGCTAATCACCAGGACCATTGATATTGCTGAATGCTTGAGGAGACAACCAAGAAATGTTGAGTTCTTTCTTGGCACATCAGATGGAGTGGGACTTGTCAAGCAGTTTAATTGGTTGAAGTTTGGTGACTTTTTAGTTCTGCTTGATTCGTTGGACAACTGTTCTTCTGATGCAGTTAATGTGAAGGTCCTCAATTTCTTCGTGGATCTCTTATCTGGAGAATCTTCTTCTGAGCTCAGACAAAGGATACAGACCAAGTTCCTTGAAATGGATTCTGTTTGTTTGTCCAGATGGTTAGAAAAGCGACTACTTGGTTCTGTTGTGGAGATATCTGGAGGGACACGATGTGGAAAAGGAAGTTCTGTTTCTCTACGAGAATCAACAACAAGTTTCATTTTGTCTCTCGTGTCCTCATATTGTGAATTGTCTTCAAAATGTCTGCACCATCATTTGTTTGAATCCTTGCTCAATTTACTTGATACCGCATTCTCGCTATTTGATGTTCATATTGCCAAGTCCTTTTTCCAAGTGGTTATTCAACTGTGCAGAGGAGAGCAATCGATGAAGTTGCTTCTTGAGACGACAATATTGTTGATGGACAAGTTGGCTGGTAACGATTGTCTGCTTCCCGGGCTGAGATTTCTTTTTGGCTTTCTTGAAACTGTTTTAAGTGATTGTGGATCCTGTAAGAATCCTCTTGAGAAATCTGCAGAAAATTCTTTTCATCTTAGCAGTATTGGTGAGGCTTCAGCCCTTTTGAAGGCAATAGGATCGAGAAAAAATGCTGATGCCGTGGTCCTTTCCACAAATCAGGAAAGGAGTAGTCCTGCAATAGAGTGTGATGCAGCCTCTCTTGATGAAGATGAGGATGATGGTACATCTGATGGCGAGGTAGCTAGTGTGGATAAAGATGATGAGGATGATATCAATAGTGAAAGAGCTCTTGCCTCAAAAGTATGTACATTTACATCCAGTGGCAGCAACTTTATGGAACAACACTGGTATTTTTGTTATACTTGTGACTTGACAGTGTCAAAAGGCTGTTGCTCTGTGTGTGCGAAAGTTTGTCACCATGGTCACCGGGTTGTCTATTCTCGGTCTAGTAGATTCTTTTGTGATTGTGGAGCTGGTGGTGTTAGGGGTAGCAATTGTCAATGCTTGAAGCCTCGAAAATTTACACCACATGACAGTGGACCAGTATGTAGTACAGGGCACTATCAGTCCTTCTTGCCCTTCACTGATGCTACAGATCAGTTGCCAGAGACAGATTCTGATCTAGAAGAGGATTTGGCAGTGGACGCAGATAGTCCTGTTAGGTGGTCTATTCCAAGAGAGATTCAGGATAAGATCCCACTTCTTATTGAAGAACTTAATTTGGAGTCCAAAGTATTACAGCTTTGCTCTTCATTGTTGCCTTCTATAACGGCTAAAAGAGAATATGAACTCTCAAAGGATAAGAAAATCATTCTCGGTAAGGACAAGGTGCTTTCCTTCGGAGTTGAGCTGTTGCAGTTGAAAAAGGCTTATAAAAGTGGATCGCTGGACCTAAAGATAAAGGCAGACTATTCAAATACGAAGGATCTTAGATCACACTTGGCTACTGGTTCTCTTGTGAAGTCTCTGCTCAGTGTCAGTAATCGAGGCAGACTTGCTGTTGGAGAAGGTGATAAAGTCTCCATATTTGATGTTGGTCAGCTTATCGGACAAGCCACTGTTGCCCCGATAACAGCAGACAAAACCAATGTCAAGCCCCTTTCAAGAAATGTTGTCCGTTTTGAGATTGTACAACTTACCTTCAATTTAGTCACTGAAAATTATCTTGCTGTGGCTGGGTATGAAGACTGCCAGGTCCTCACTTTGAATCCTCGTGGAGAGGTGACGGATAGACTTGCCATTGAACTTGCTCTTCAGGGTGCTTATATTAGACGGATTGAGTGGGTTCCTGGTTCCCAAGTCAAGTTAATGGTGGTGACTAATAGATTCATCAAAATGTATGATCTCTCTCAGGACAACATCAGTCCTCTGCACTACTTCACACTGGCTGATGACATGATTGTTGATGCTACACTTTTGATGGCTTCTCAAGGGAGAATGTTTCTGGTCGTTCTTTCTGAGAAAGGAAGGTTGTTCAGGCTAGAAGTGCCTGTGGAAGGAAATATAGGAGCAACACCATTGAAAGAAATTGTTCAGATCGAGGATCGTGTAATCGATGCAAAGGGCTTATCTCTGTACTACTCTTCTACCTACAGATTACTACTAATATCCTATCACGATGGTACTACTTTGATGGGTCGTCTAAGTCCTGATGCATCATGTCTTTCTGAGACATCTTCCGTGTATGAAGAGGGACAGGATGGCAGGATGCTACCAGCTAGTTTGCATCGCTGGACAGAATTATTGAGTGGTAGTGGTTTGTTCGCTTGCTTCTCGTCCATGAAATCGAATTCTTCACTTGTTGTCGCCATGGAAGCTGATGCCCTTAATGCACAGAGCTTGAGGCATGCTGTCAGTGCGGCCTCAAATTTAGTCGGTTTAGCTGCATACAAGCCTTTGTCCAAGGACAAGATCCATTGTCTTGTTTTACAGGATGATGGAAGCCTTCAGATATATGTACACTCACCAGGTGGAAATGATAGTGATGGAAGTGTTGCAGCTGAGCAAGTAAAGAAGTTAGGTTCTGGAATCCTTAACAGTAAAGTGTATGCTGGTGTGAAGCCTGAATTTCCTCTCGACTTCTTTGAGAAGACAGTTCTGATCACTTCTGATGTGAAACTGGGAGGTGATGCAATCAGAAATGGTGATTCTGAAGGAGCAAAACAGAGCTTGGGATCAGAGGATGGCTTTCTGGAGGGCCCTAGTCCTGCAGGCTTTAAGGTGATGCATTGTTGTTGTCCATTCTCTGTCTGTCTCTATTTATATTTTATTATTCTTTGTGTAAATTTTGGAAACGTTTATGGTATATCCTCGATTCAATTGTGTTTTAAGTTTAGCTTAGGACTCTTTAGTTCCTTTCATGTTGTTAATTTGAGATATCCACTGATATGAGGAGTCTAGTCACTGGCCGTGTAAGGTATTATGCAGTATTGGTGGCTGGAAACTTTACCCTTTCTCCTTTGAGAAGGGTTTTCTTTTTATGGATCTTTAAGAAGATAGTGGTTTATGGAGCAAAACATAAAAAATAATGAAATGTGAAGATAAATATACATCAAAGTGTGGGAAATGAAGGGCAGTTAGCTGATATCGGGGAAGGATCAATTCTTTTTCTTGGTTTAATGTCAAATGGGGGTAATGCCATCTGATGGGTGAATGTAGTCCCTAAAATCTGAATTTGATGTGGGTCTGTTAATCTGACATATGGTATGATCAGGTTACTGGCAGTGTATGTTTCTGTTGTCACTCTTGATCTTTTGTTGTTAATTTTGACATTGGAGACTTGGCCTGCATTATACTGCCTTACATTGGCAGTTAGTTATTTACGAGATTTGTATTAATTTATTAACTCTTGGTACATTTTGTTTCCTGTAGATATCTGTCTCCAATCCAAACCCTGATATTGTGATGGTTGGTATTCGTGTCCAAGTGGGGAACACATCTGCAAATCACATACCTTCTGAGATTGGCATCTTTCAGAGGGTTGTCAAGTTAGATGAAGGCTTGCGTTCGTGGTATGATATACCATTCACTGTTGCAGAATCTCTCCTTGCTGATGAAGAATTCATCGTCACTGTGGGGCCAACTTTCAATGGCACTGCACTACCTAGAATTGACAGCTCTTGAAGTTTATGGGCGAGCAAAAGATGAATTTGGTTGGAAAGAGAAGATGGATGCAGTTTTGGGTATGGAAGCCCGTGTGCTGGGTTCGAAGTCGTCGCTTTCTGGGTCGGGTAAAAAATCTAGGTCTGTGCAGTCTGCTTCCATCCAGGAGCAGGTTATAGCCGATGGACTAAAGCTTCTATCTAAATTATATTCGTCATCCCGGAGGGTAGAAGATCATGGTAAACTAGAGCTTCCTGAATTGAAGTGCAAGATGCTGTTGGAAAGCATATTTGAGAGTGAAAGAGAACCACTACTACAAGCTTCTGCTTGTCGTGTCCTGCAGGCAATTTTCCCCAAGAAAGAGAGATATTACCAAGTAAGTTTTGGCAAACTAAATCATTATACACAACTGCGATGGATGCAGGAATATTTTTTGTGTGCTTTTGTGAATGTCTTTGATGTATGGTTTTAGTTTTTGGTCTGTAACTTCAGTCTCTATTTTCCAGATTTATGGTCTTGTAACTTCAGTCTCTATTTTCCAGGTTAAGGATACAATACGTCTCCAAGGAGTTGTTAAATCAACTTCTATTCTTTTATCAAGACTAGGAGTTGGCGGAATGACAGGAGGGTGGATTATTGAGGAGTTCACTGCTCAGATGCGTGCCGTATCTAAGATAGCATTGCACCGCCATTCAAATCTAGCCAATTTTCTGGAGATGAATGGTACGATCTATCTGTTTTAAAAGAATTGCCAGTCATAACTGAACTATTAAGAATCATCTAGACATATGTGCATCTTTTTTACGTTTTCTATTTGAAGGATTTTGCAAGATAGCACTTTATGGAATTCATCAACTAGATTTCATGGGTAGGCATGGGACTGAAATTGTGTGTATTTAATCTATGGACATCAGCAATTGACAATTATGAGGAAGTCTGAATCCCAACGGTTTCCTAGTTCTTAATATATTCAGTAACCATTAATAATAATCGAAGAAGGCTAAAACAGCTTGTAGTAACTGTGTCTGTGAAAGCCGTTGCGCTTAGGATATCAAATTTTTATAAGTTTGTGCCGCTGTTGCTCATGTGTAGGCGCAGAGGTGGTGGATGGTTTGATGCAAGTATTGTGGGGGATTTTGGACTTGGAGCAGCCTGACACTCAGACAATGAACAATATCGTTATTTGTGCTGTGGAGCTTGTATATTGCTATGCTGAATGTTTAGCTTCACACGGGAAGGATGCAGGGAAGAGCTCCGTTGCCCCTGCTGTTGCTGTACTGAAGAAGCTTTTATTCTACCCCAATGAGGCGGTGCAAACGTCGAGCAGGTACTAATGTCTTGTCCTTGTGTCTGATTGTCACAGATACTTCCCTTATGTGTACTGATGATGCTGCCACTTCTTCATATTCAGCCTGGCGATATCTTCAAGATTGCTTCAAGTACCTTTCCCAAAACAAACTATGTTATCAACAGATGATGGTGCAGAAAATGCTGTTTCTGCATCTGGGCCAGGTGATACAACAGGCAATGGGAACACACAAGTCATGATTGAAGAAGATACTATCACCTCATCGGTTCAGTATTGTTGTGATGGTTGTTCAACTGTCCCTATACTTAGGCGGAGATGGCATTGCACAATCTGCCCTGATTTTGACTTGTGTGAAGCTTGTTATCAAGTATTGGATGTTGATCGTCTCCCCCCGCCCCATTCCAGGGATCATCCTATGACTGCTATTCCAATTGAAGTGGAATCATTGGGAGGAGATGGTAATGAGATTCACTTCTCAAGTGAGGATGTAAATGATTCTAACTTGATGCGTGTCACATCTGACATTGGCCTACCGAGTTCCGCTCCTTCAATTCATGTTCTGGAGCCCAATGAGTCTGGAGAATTTTCTGCTTCGATGACAGATATTGTCTCCATTTCTGCTTCGAAACGGGCTGTGAACTCCTTGCTTCTTTCTGAACTGCTTAAACAGTTGGGTGGATGGATGCACACAACTTCTGGTGTTCGGGCTATCCCTGTTATGCAACTCTTCTACAGGCTATCATCTGCTGTGGGTGGGCCATTTATAGATGGTTCACAGCCCGACACCCTTGCCCTAGAGAAGTTGATCAAGTGGTTTTTAGACGAGATAAATCTTGATCAACCTTTTGCAGCTAGAACACGTTCATCCTTTGGAGAGGTTGTGATTCTTGTCTTCATGTTTCTTACTTTGATGCTTCGAAATTGGCACCAGCCTGGTACTGATGGTTCTGTGAAATCAAGTGGGACTGTTGAGAAACATGATAAGAGTATTAGTCCGGTCATTTCTGTTACTTTACAATCTACCTTGGACGGTCAAGAGAAGAATGATTTTGCATCCCAGCTGATTCGAGCATGCAGCTCTTTGAGAAATCAAGCTTTTGTGAACTATTTGATGGATATCTTGCAGCAGTTAATGCAGGTTTTCAAGTCCTCTAGTGGGAATTTGGAGAGCTCTGTCTCAAACAATGGTTCGGGATGTGGGGCTCTATTAACTGTCCGGAGAGATTTACCAGCTGGCAACTTTTCCCCATTCTTTTCTGATTCATATGCTAAAGCGCATCGTGGTGATATTTTTATGGATTACCATAGGTTATTACTAGAGAATGCGTTCAGGCTGGTGTATACATTGGTCAGACCGGAGAAGCAAGACAAGACAGGTGATAGAGAGAAGGTTTACAAGGCCTCTTCTGGTAAGGATCTGAAGCTAGATGGATATCAGGATGTCCTCTGCAGCTATATTAACAATCCTCACACCACGTTTGTTAGAAGACATGCAAGGAGGCTATTTCTGCATATTTGTGGAAGTAAAACTCACTATTACAGTGTCCGAGATTCATGGCAATTCTCAAGCGAAGTGAAGGAACTTTACAAGCATATCAATAAATCTGGTTCACTTCAAAATCCAGTCCCGTACGAGAGGAGTGTAAAGACAGTTAAATGCTTATCTACAATGGCTGAGGTGGCTGCAGCGCGGCCACGAAATTGGCAGAAGTACTGTTTGAGGCATGGAGATGTATTACCCTTTCTTATGGGTGCAATATTCTATTTCAGTGAGGAGTCTGTTGTTCAGACTCTAAGACTTCTCAATCTAGCATTCTATTGTGGAAAGGAAATGAGCCACTCCTTGCAGAAAGTTGAAGGTGGGGACCCTGTTTCAAGCTCGAGTAAATCTGGGTCACAGTCTGGAGATTCAAAGAAGAAGAAAAAGGGTGAAGATGGAAATGAATCTAGTTCGGAGAAGTCATATTTGGATATGGAGGCAGCAGTAGATATCTTTACTGACAAGGATGGTGACACTCTGAGGCAATTTGTTGATTGTTTTTTACTGGAGTGGAATTCAAGCTCTGTGCGTGCAGAAGCCAAGTGTGTTCTTTATGGTACCTGGCATCACGGGAAGCATTCCTTCAAGGAAATGATGTTAGTGGCCCTCTTGCAGAAAGTGAAGAACTTGCCTGTATATGGTCAGAATATTGTTGAGTTCACTGAACTAGTCATCTGGTTATTGGGGAAGAGTCCAGATAATAGTTCGAAGCAGCAGAGCACTGATCTTCTCGATCGTTGCTTGACTAATGAGGTTATTAGGGGTATCTTTGATACTCTTCACTCACAGAATGAGCTTATAGCTAATCATCCAAATTCTCGTATATACAATACTTTGAGTGGCCTTGTTGAATTTGATGGTTACTACCTTGAAAGTGAGCCTTGTGTTGCATGCAGCTCTCCTGAAGTGCCCTACAGTCGGATGAAACTAGAAAGCTTGAAGTCTGAAACAAAGTTTACAGATAACCGCATCATTGTAAAGTGCACTGGGAGTTACACCATCCAGTCTGTTACAATGAATGTCCATGATGCGCGCAAATCTAAGTCTGTGAAAATCTTGAACTTGTATTACAACAACAGGCCTGTAGCTGATTTATCTGAGTTGAAGAACAATTGGTCGTTGTGGAAACGAGCAAAAAGTTGCCATCTTGCTTTTAACCAAACAGAGCTGAAAGTGGAGTTTCCTATTCCAATCACTGCCTGCAACTTCATGATTGAACTGGATTCATTCTATGAAAATCTTCAGGCTCTATCCCTGGAGCCATTGCAGTGCCCACGGTGTAGTCGGCCTGTGACTGATAAGCATGGGATCTGTAGCAACTGCCATGAGAATGCATATCAGTGTAGGCAATGCCGCAACATAAATTATGAAAATCTGGATTCTTTCTTGTGTAATGAATGTGGGTATAGCAAATATGGCCGGTTTGAGTTCAACTTCATGGCAAAGCCGAGTTTCACATTTGATGATATGGAGAATGATGAAGATATGAAGAGGGGTTTGGTAGCTATTGAGTCGGAGTCGGAAAATGCTCATAGGAGATACCAGCAACTTCTGGGTTTCAAGAAGCCCCTTCTTAAGATTGTATCGAGTATAGGGGAGAATGAAATGGATTCGCAGCAGAAAGATTCCGTTCAGCAAATGATGGTTTCTCTACCTGGACCTTCGTGCAAAGTGAACCGGAAGATTGCTCTTCTTGGTGTCTTGTATGGGGAAAAATGTAAGGCTGCTTTTGATTCTGTCAGCAAAAGTGTCCAGACACTGCAGGGACTCCGCCGTGTTCTGATGAGTTATCTGCACCAGAAGCGTTCCGATGATTCTGTTGCTGCCTCTAGATTTGTTGCGTCCAGGTGTCCTAATAACTGTTATGGCTGTGCAACCACTTTCATCACGCAATGTTTGGAGATGCTGCAAGTTCTATCAAAACATTCTAGTTCGAAAAAACAACTTGTAACAGCTGGCATCTTATCAGAGTTGTTTGAAAACAATATTCACCAGGGTCCAAAAACTGCACGGGTCCTGGCAAGGTCTGTTCTATGTGCTTTCTCAGAAGGTGATGTTGGTGCAGTGATTGAGTTGAACAGTTTAATACAGAAAAAAGTTATGTACTGCCTCGAACATCACAGGTCCATGGACATTGCTGTGGCCACTCGGGAGGAGATGATGTTACTATCAGAAGTGTGTTCCCTAGCAGATGAATTCTGGGAGTCACGGCTGCGCATTGTCTTCCAGCTTTTATTTTCATCCATCAAGTTGGGGGCTAAACATCCTGCAATAGCTGAGCATATCATTCTTCCTTGTCTAAGGATTATCTCCCAGGCTTGCACCCCTCCTAAAGCTGATAAAACAGAAAAAGAGCAAGCCAGTATAAAGCCCATCTCTACATCACGGTTGAAGGAAGATATTAGCTTTAGTACATCTTTCAGTGGTAAGTCATTAGAAATGCCCAAGAAAGATCGGTCAGGTTCTAATAAGACACAAGATATTCAGCTGTTGAGTTATTCAGAATGGGAAAAAGGAGCTTCATACCTTGATTTTGTGAGAAGGCAGTACAAGGTGTCTCAGCCAGTTAAAGGTCATAGATCTCGGCCACAGAGACATGAATACTTGGCCCTCAAATATTTGCTTCGATGGAAGCGACGTGCTAGTAAGACAGCAAAGGGTGGCTTGTCTACTTTTGAGCTAGGGTCTTGGGTGACGGAACTTGTTCTTAGTGCCTGTTCTCAGTCCATCCGGTCAGAGATGTGCCTGCTGATTAATTTACTTTGTGCCCAAAGCTCATCAAGACGGTTCCGGTTGTTGAATCTGCTCATGGCATTGTTACCAGCAACTCTTGCATCTGGTGAAAGTGCTACTGAATACTTTGAATTGCTTTTCAAGATGACCGATTCCGAAGATGCTCTTCTGTTCTTGACGGTACAGGGGTGCCTCAGTACAATCTGCAAATTGATTACTCAGGAAGTGGGTAATGTTCATTCCTTGGAAAGGAGTTTGCATGTGGATATTTCACAGGGATTCATCCTTCACAAGCTTATAGAGCTCCTTGGAAAATTCTTAGAGGTTCCAAATATAAGATCCAGGTATCATCGGAAATCATTGTTGTTTGCAAGTCTGCTTGACAAACATGTTGTTTCCCTTAACTTGCTTCTAACAGTTGCTTTTGTATCAGATTTATGCGTAACAATTTGTTGCCGGATATCCTTGAGGCTCTTATTGTAATTAGAGGTTTGGTAGTACAAAAGACGAAGTTGATAAGTGATTGCAATCGTCTTCTGAAAGACCTTCTTGATGGACTTCTACTTGAAAGCAGTGAAAATAAGAGACAGTTCATTCGAGCCTGTGTCAGTGGCCTGCGAATCCATGCTAAGGAAAGGAAAGCCCGCACATGTCAGGTAGGGAGACTAGCGTGCTTTTGTTGTTCCATAATGTTGCATTTGTCAATAAGTTACAAGAGCCCTGCTTGGATCAATGTTACCTTGATCATGGAAATGGATCAAAGTAAGAGATAAGTTACTGGCAAGACCGAGATGAATTAATTTTTAAACATAGCCAAGATTTTAGCTCGGCTATCTGTCTGAAGGAAGTCTTGCAGACAGATTATGCTTATCACCCTTAGATATCCTACTGTTAATTTGGTTATTTTCCTTTTCCTTTATTGTGCTATGAATCTTCAAAATATAGGTTGTTTAAATCCTCTTCTAATTCTCTGCTATACCTGCAGTTTATACTTGAGCAGCTTTGCAACTTGATCTGTCCCTCAAAGCCAGAGTCGGTCTATTTATTGGTTCTAAACAAAGCTCACACACAAGAAGAGTTTATGAGAGGATCCATGACTAAGAATCCCTACTCTAGTGCTGAGATTGGCCCTCTCATGCGTGATGTTAAAAATAAGATCTGCCAGCAATTGGATCTGCTTGGACTCATCGAAGATGACTATGGAATGGAGCTATTGGTTGCTGGAAATATCATTTCTCTTGATTTAAGCATTTCTCAAGTATATGAGCAGGTGTGGAAGAAATCAAACAGTCAATCATCAAATTCCATGATCAATAACACCCTGCTATCCTCGAGTGCTGCTTCGGCTAGAGACTGCCCACCTATGACAGTGACCTACCGTCTTCAGGTTAGCTGAATTGACCGCTTGCTATCATTTCTCTGTGTTCAATTCTTTCTGGTGTTTTGGTGTGTTTGCTTGAGGGAGAAATTCAGCAACTCATTGAATTCCCATCTTGTCCATCTAAAATTGTTCGAGTTCTGGTAGATTTGAGTTTTGCCAGTCTTTCTCTGTACTATTTTATCCGGTTTTGGCTTGTGATTTTAGTGTCTGTCCTATCAATATACCTCCTCAGACAAACATCCGACTCTGTGCTTTTATATGATTTAGGGATTGGATGGTGAAGCCACTGAGCCCATGATAAAAGAGTTAGAGGAGGATAGAGAGGAATCACAAGATCCAGAGGTGGAATTTGCCATAGCTGGTGCAGTTCGTGAGTGTGGTGGCTTGGAGATCTTGTTGGGAATGATCCAGGTACTCAGCAACCCTATAATTTCCAGTTTTTGCTCTTGTAATGCATTTTGGCCTTCTAGAATCCTAGGTTCTAATCTCATGGTCTGTGCTTTCACCAGCCACTGCAAGATGATTTCAAGTCAAACCATGAGCAGTTGGTTGCAGTTCTAGATCTCCTCATGCACTGCTGTAGGATAAGGGAGAACAGACGTGCCTTATTAAAGCTTGGAGCTTTAGGCCTTCTTCTTGAAACAGCAAGGCGTGCTTTCTCTGTGGATGCTATGGAGCCAGCAGAAGGCATCCTTCTGATTGTAGAAAGTCTGACTCTGGAGGCTAATGAGAGTGATAACATTAGCATTACACAGAGTGCCCTTACTGTTAGCAACGAGAAAACGGGCACGGGAGAAGAGGCAAAGAAAATAGTTCTCATGTTTCTGGAAAGATTGTGCCACCCTTCTTCGGGCCTCAAGAAATCAAACAAACAACAGAGGAACACTGAGATGGTTGCTAGAATCTTGCCCTATCTAACTTATGGAGAACCTGCTGCGATGGAAGCACTTGTTGAGCACTTCAACCCGTACTTGCAAGACTGGAAGGAATTCGACAACTTGCAAAAAGAGCATGAAGATAATCCAAAGGACGATGTCATCACTGAGAAGGCAGCCAAGCAGAGGTTCACCATAGAAAACTTTGTTCGGGTGTCAGAATCGCTGAAGACGAGTTCTTGTGGGGAACGGTTGAAAGACATCATTGTGGAGAAGGGAATTACAGATACTGCTGTTAGGCATTTGAGGGAAAGCTTCGCTGTAGCAGGTCAGGCTGGTTTCAAATCTACTGCAGAGTGGGCATTGGGTCTAAAACTGCCATCTGTTCCTCTTATACTGTCTATGCTGAGGGGATTGTCAATGGGGCATTTCGCAACCCAAAGGTGCATCGATGAGGGACGGATCTTACCACTGCTCCACACTCTAGAAGGAGTGTCTGGGGAAAACGAGATTGGGGCCAGGGCTGAGAACTTATTGGATACACTGTCTAATAAGGAGGGGAAAGGCGATGGCTTCTTAGAAGAAAAGGTGCATGAGTTGCGTCGTGCCACCAAGGATGAGATGAGGCGCCGAGCTCTGAGAAAGAGAGAGGAATTGCTTCAGGTACAGCTCAAGTTCACTTTGTTCTTCCCTAACTAACTTTTATTAAGTTCTACCAAATGTTCTTCAAAAAAATTCACATACCATACGTTGTGTTGGCCTGTTTCTTCATTTTGGTTTACTGTTGACGTTCTACTAACACGCTCTTCTGTTATGATATACTCTCAAAACTGAAGGGGCTTGGAATGAGGCAAGAACTGTCTTCAGACGGTGGCGAGAGAATAGTTGTCGCAAGGCCTAACCTAGAAGGTCTGGAAGACGTGGAGGAAGAAGCAGATGGCTTGGCATGCATGGTATGTCGAGAAGGCTACAGCTTGAGACCGAGCGACTTGCTGGGCGTTTACACATTCAGCAAGAGGGTGAATCTTGGTGCTGGGACTTCAGGAAGTGCTCGTGGCGAATGTGTTTACACTACTGTCAGTTATTTCAACATCATTCATTTCCAGTGCCATCAGGAAGCGAAAAGGGCAGATGCTGCATTGAAAAATCCCAAGAAAGAGTGGGAGGGAGCTACACTCAGAAACAATGAGTCCCTCTGCAACTCCTTGTTCCCGATTAGAGGTCCACTTGTCCCATTATCGCAGTATGCCCGTTACGTGGACCAGTTCTGGGACAACCTTAATGCCCTTGGACGAGCTGATGGGAGCCGGCTTCGACTATTAACTTACGATGTTGTGCTGGTAAGGATTTCCCTCTGAACCTTTTGTTATTGTGCTTCCCAGTTACGCACATTTTCATTTTTTTAGACTATAGACAGAGTCATTATTTTTTCCTTTTTTGTGCTTTTCCTTAATAGAGTCCTTCCTCTCTCTGTTTGTACAGATGCTTGCCCGATTCGCAACTGGAGCATCTTTCAGTGCAGAAAGCAGGGGTGGAGGGAGGGAAAGCAACTCGCGTTTCCTACCTTTCATGGTCCAAATGGCGCATTACCTCTTCGAACAAGGAAGCTCATCCCAGCGTCGGAACCTGGCAAAAACCATCTCGTCATATATAGCTTCCTCTCCTTCAGACTCCAAATCCTCTGTTCTTGCAGCAGCACATCCTGTCATGGGAACAGAAGAGACCGTGCAGTTCATGATGGTCAACTCCCTCCTCTCGGAATCCTACGAGTCCTGGCTGCAACACCGCCGTGCCTTCTTGCAGCGTGGAATATACCACGCATACATGCAGCACACCCACGGGCGATCATCCACATCCCGGACATCGAAAGAAGCAAGTACCAGCGTAGCATCGGGCCAAGACAAGCCCGACGAGCTGCTCTCCATTGTTCGGCCGATGCTGGTCTACACGGGGTTGATAGAGCAGATGCAACGGTTCTTCAAGGTGGTGAAGAAAGGGTCGACGAGTGGGCCATCAGACAGAAGCGTAGAAGACAATGACGAGAACATGGAAGCTTGGGAGTTGGTGATGAAAGAACGGCTGCTGAAAGTGAGTGAGATGCTCGGGTTCTCGAAAGAGCTGGTGTCTTGGTTGGAGGAGATGAACTCCGCCACCGATTTGCAGGAGGCCTTCGACATAATCGGTGTCCTGCCCGACGTGTTGTCTGGTGGGATAGTGAAATGTGAAGATTTTGTGCACGCTGCGATTGAGGCGGGAAAGAACTGAGCTTGTGCCGACGAGGAGCATCAACTGTGTTAGTCCGTTTGTTTGTTTGTTTGTTTGTCTGTAGTAAATTCCAACTCCAGTCGCTGCTCAACCCGTCTATGCCTTTGGGTATGTTCTGTGCATTCGAGCCGTGTCTGGTGTTAGGAAAAACCAAAGCACATTTGCTCCTGTTGGCTAGTAAGAAAATATGGATGCCTCTTTTCCCGCTAGTTCCCCTGTTTTTGGGCTTTACAAAAGAATGCATTTTTGTTGGTGCAACGCCAATGGCAATTACGTATTTTCGGAGAAAGTGGCTACTGGCCGTAATTTAAATAGGGGTGTTCAAATGGTTACCATGGTTATTACCAAACCAAATAAGGCTAAATTTCATTAACCGTGGAATGCAATATCATAACCAAACTGTCCAAACTAATACAACAACCAAATTAACCAAACTAAAGTTTAATTGGTTAACCAGAGTAACCAATATAAAACCATATTATCATCAAGTGAGAAAATTTTGGTTAATTTATCAATTCACAATTTATATAACGAATAAAACATAACAATCAACACATAGTTATAGTTGACCCTTAACATAAATACATGCAACTAAGATAATTATCTTACGGTTACTATAGAAGTATTCACCTAACAAAAATTTATCACAATGGTATGGATTAATGAATTGTTGTGTTTGTTTGAATTGACTTAGTCTTTTAGCAATTTTCATAGGCTGAAAAGGACCTTGCTTTCAAGTTTTCATCCAATATAATGTATGAGATTTATCTAAATTAGGCGGTCATATGTTGTGGTTTGCACTCTACATATACAAATATACATTATAGAAATAATATCAAGCTTTATATTTTATGAGTCTAAAAGAATGAACGTTTAACTCTTGAGTGGTTATTCAAAGTATTAAGTATGTGTATATATTAGATATATAACTAATTATTTATCTGGTTAATTTGGTTTGGCTGGTTATGAGTGTCTGAAACCAAACCAAACAAGCTAAAAACTTTAACCAAACCAAACCAGTTATCCAAATTAACCAAACCAAATTATCCAAATAGTATTGGTTAAAACGGTTACCATGGTAACCACACCGTTTGAACACCCCCTAGGCCGTATCGTATCCGGAAAGCAAATTTATTTTGAGAAAGAAAAAAATATATAACGTTGTTATCCTAGAAAAGGAATGGGAAAGTATAACAAAGCGATCTTTCGGTGTGATCTTCTTCTACTTCGAGGCTTCGACCAACCTCTCTCTCTCTCTCTCTCTCTCTCTCTCCACACCAACCCGTAGGCCATAGCTGTCTCCATCACTCCCAGCAGCTACTCAAGGCCATCCACCTTCATCTTGCCGACGCAACACCTCCACCGCCTCCTCATCTACTCGCTCCGTCCCACTCCTCCTGCGCCGCTGCGCCGCTTCTGCCTGGCTGGCGGCGCCCTTTCCCACCACTGTTGTTAGGAAAAAGGTAACTCGTCGGTTATGATCTCTTAAATTCTTTGCTCTGGTCCCGGGGAATACTGTTACCTAGGATCGCTAAAATCACTCCAAACCTTCCCTCTCTGTCTCTCTCTGCTTTTGAATCGGTACATCTATATTCTTTTGTGTCGTTTATTGATCAATTTCAGCTTCTCATTCAGAATACTGTCGACCGCTTTTTCCCTTCTGGGTTTAGACATTCCTCTTTCCCTCGCTAGGACAGGTTGCCGCTTCCCTTAGAACTCACAATTTGGTTTCACAAACATGATCCATGCCCTCCGTGGTCTTTTTTAGACGCATAGTTTGCTCCTCTTGATCAAGTTGATTTCATTCTGTAGTTTATTGGGCTTCCTATTTTGTTGAGTAGCTAGCAATGGTGGTGTTTAAAGAACCTTTCTCTTGGGAACTGAATGCATTAGTGGAACAATTTAAGCTCATTTGAAGATTCTGGGCGCTTGCTATCAGCTTTCAGAGTAGCAGCGTGAACTCAGAAACATTACAGGCCATCTGTCTTTGAGTTAAGAGGGTTTGCTACTCGAGTAAAGCTCTCAGCTGGGTGAATGAAAACATCTCAACTTGACAAAATTGCATCCATTCTCCTCCCTTCATAATTAACACTTCGTTCTATTATCTGATATTGACTGTGAATAAGCTGTACAGTTTCTTGTTTGTTAGGAAATGGAGTAGCTAGCAAACCCTACTTTTTTGGTTTTCCTTATTTTCTTCCTTTAAACAACTAACTAATAAGCCCTCTATTCTTGATGGGAAAAGAGATGCAAAAAACAGGTCTTGTTTCCCTGAGTAACTTGTTTATGTCATTTTTGCTGCAGTAAGTCCATTGTGGTCTGAGGGTGTCTGCTTGAGAGAGCTTTGGTGTTTATCATTACAATGGTGGATCTTGCGTGTCTCGTGTACAGCTTGTAAGCCATAGAAAAGGAAAGGATCACTTGTTCAGAAAATTATTTCTCCCATGGATATAAAAGGAGCTTATGATGTTGAGCACATGAGTTTAAAATCCGGAATGGAGCATGAATCATGGCCTCTTGATGAGATTGATCCAAAGAAGGCAAAATTTCCATGTTGTCTGGTTTGGACTCCATTCCCTGTCGTCTCATGGTTGGCACCTTTTATGGGGCATGTCGGCATTTGCAGGGAGGATGGAGCTATTTTAGATTTCTCAGGCTCTAATTTTGTGAGCGTTGACAATTTTGCATATGGTGCTGCTGCCAGATACCTTCAGCTAGATCGAGACCAGGCATGTTCTCCTTTCCTTTAGCTCATATCTCATTCACACACTCAACACTCCTTTTTCATGATAAAACTATATTCAAGTGAGAAACACAAAGGGTGTGTTTGTTTCAGCTTTACTGGCTTTTTAACTTACAGGCCATCTGTTCTTAATTTCAGTGTTGCTTCCCGAGGAACCGTGCTGGCCACACATGCAAGCATGGCTTTATGCACACAGAGTACGGGACTGCAATTACTTGGGACGACGCCTTACGTGCAAGCATGTCTTCCTACGAGACCAAGACCTACAACATCTTCACATGCAATTGCCTTTCCTTTGTTGCAAACTGCTTGAATAGGGCCTGCTATGCTGGATCGATGGACTGGAACATGCTACGCGTTGCTGCCCTCATTCTGTTCAAGGGCCACTGGATCGACTGGAAATCGATCGTCAGATCGTTCCTCCCATTCGTGGTTGTGCTCTGCTTGGGTGTATTGCTGGTGGGGTGGCCTTTTCTACTGGGTCTGCTCTCCTTTTTCCTCCTGCTCATTGCGTGGTATGTGATTTGTACATTTTGTGTAAAGAACGTTTTGGAGTGCTAGTGGATGTTGTAAGTGGCTGCAAAGTTCATATTGGATTAAGATCGGTTTGGCTGATCTTGCTCAACTTGCTTCAGGATAATATATTATTTTAAATGGTCCTCAGGAATCAGGATAATATTATTAGGACTGAAACAGCCGCCAAATGGATGAAGCTGCGCTTTAAAAGTCTAGTCTCTGTTTTGGACGAATTAACCAGTGGAGGAGGAAAAAACGATTACGGTTTTGCCAGAATAATGGAGAACAGTGATCAATCTCAATCCCTGAAACTCCTCCACCATTTCCAAGTCTCTCCTTCCCCGCCACCGTCCGCCGTCTCCAATCTTCCGCTCACTTTCCTCGACTACCCATGGCTGCTCTGTCGCCCGATGCAGCGCCTCTTCTTCTACGATTCCCCGCTCTCAACTCATCAATTCACCCAGACCATCCTCCCTCACCTCAAGACCTCCCTCTCCGCCGCCCTCCACCACTTCCTCCCTCTCGCCGGCCACCTAATCTCCCCTGCGCCGCCTCAACGCCCTTACCTCCGCTTTTCAGACGGAGACTCTGTCCCCCTCACGGTGGCAGAGTCAGCAGGCGACTTTGACCAGATAATCACCAACGACCGTCCAAGAGACGCCAGGGAGCTGCGCCCTTTCGTCCCTGAGATGCCGGATTCTACCATGGAGCCGGACGGCACGAAATTGGTGCCGCTATTGGCCATTCGAATCACTCTGTTTCCGGGGAAAGGCCTCTGCATCGGCTGCCAGTTCGCCCACGTGGCCACCGACGGGATGGGTTTCCACCACTTCGTCAAATTCTGGGCTTCTCTGTTTAGGTCGTTGAAATCAGGGGTGAAAGAGGACAAGAAGAATACTTCTACTTCTGCTGTTCCATCGCCGGCGAGAGACAGGGAAGTGATCAGGGTTGCTTACCCGATTCTTGAATCGGTTCTATTGAACCAGTGGTTCGAGTTCGGATCATCGTGGGATTTCGATTCGGGTCCGACCCATTACCGAGACCTCTCCGATAAGGTCCGATCTACCTTCGTGATTACCCGTACGAACATCGAGAGGATGAAGCTCTGGGTACGGGGGAAAAATCCGACGACGTTTCGCCTCTCTGCTTTCGTGGTGAGCTCTGCTTTCATCTGGGCCAATCTTGTCAAATCCCAGGCCGTCGGAGACTCATCGGTCGGCCCCGACGCTTTGTACCACCTCAGCTTTGTCGCCGATTGCCGGCAACGGCTCCAGATCGGGTTGTCCCCTTGGTACTTGGGGAATTGCCTGGGGATTTACTACGTTTCGATGAAGAAAAGCGATGCGGTGGGGGAGAATGGATTCGCCGTAGCGGCCGAAGCGATCGGGAGGAAAGTGGAGGAGCTGGAGAGCGGCGGCGGGCTGTTGAGAGGGGCGGAGAGGTGGGCGCCGGAGTGGAAGGAGCTGTCGGAGGAAGGGCGGCTGATTGCGATTGCCGGGTCGCCGAGATTGAAGGCGTACGAGACGGATTTCGGGTGGGGGAAGCCGAGGAAGAGCGAGGTGGTTCAGGTCGACAGTTCGGCGTCGGTGGCTCTGTGTGAGAGCCGCGACGGCGGCGGTGGAGTTGAGGTTGGAGTGGCCATGGCGAGGAGTAAGATGGAGGTTTTTAGTGGCTTGTTTCACTATTTCCTGGGTCAAATTTGAATGAAATTTTCCGGCTTAAAGGTCGATGATTTCGATTGTACCGTATCAATTTCACCAGTAATCCCCAGAAAAGCTTCCTCCAGCCGTTTCCGTTCTCCCCTTGTTTGTGTGCTTATCAGAAGCTTTTAGTTCTTGTCCATTTTGATTTGTCTTTTGCCGAACCACCACCGCCAGGGAAAAAACGTCCGATCACCCTAGACCATGGCGTCGAAACAAATACGAACTCTCGCCCGGCGGTCGCATCAACGACCGCGATCTTCCCCTCGCCGCCGCTCTATCCGCCATCCGATCCTCTTCCTCCTCCGCGCTCGCCGAGTCAGTGAAGTCGGAGGTCAAGCAGCTGGACAACGACATCAAAATTGATCTTCGTCAGGAGAGTTATCCATGTTGATAAATATTTTTGTCGCCGCCCCTGCATGTCAATTCAAAAGAGATCTCCTTGCGATCTTGATGTGGGAACACAACGTTTTTTTGTTTTGCCTAGTGAGTAGTGACTACTTTCCCTCCAGCGAGGCCAATTTACACGTCTCCATTCCTTTGATTGGCATTAAGGGGTCGTTTGCTTCATGGATTTAAAAATGAGGGTTTTGTAATTTAAAACCCAAGGATTTATCAAGGATTTGAGGCATCATGGATTTGTAACAATCTTTTGTTTGTTGGGATGTTTTTATCATGGATTTAAAGGTGTGGGATTTACTACTGGAAGTCAAAAATTACATTACTGCCATTTTCTATATGTTTGACATGTTTATGATATGTACACAAAACAAGGACAAAACTTCAAAATTACCTTACTATCATTTTCTATATGTTTGACATGTTTATGATATGTACACAAAACAAGGAGAATACATACTAATAAGCATAATGTTGCCACGTGGACATATATTAGAATCGGGAGAACAAAGAATTACACGTTCCATGAAAAGGTCAAAGAAAACTAGAACACAAGAAATGATATAAAAAATCTAACTCATTTTTGCACATTAATTGAATGTTTATATTATTCATTTATTGTTAATTATAATGTATAATAGTTAAATTTGAGGGCAACCTTGAAATATTAAAAGTGCATGAGGGTATATGGGTAAAATCTCATCAAGGATTTATGCCATATTCCAAATCCCACATCAACATGTGGGATTTATAAGTCCGTGGGGTCCACGGATTTGGAACCTTAAAATTCGTGGGCCCCACGGATTTGGTCTCCAAAAAAGGTGCAAGCAAACAACGGATTGTACCTAAATCCTTGATAGTTGGTTTTTTGGTACCAAATCCATGTACCAAATCCTTGAAGCAAACGACCCCTAATATTAGAGGTGGAAGTTTGGGTTGCGGGTTGTGGATAATCCGCAATCCGCACCTATTGTGGGTAACCATACTCACAAATTGTAGGTAGTGGGTTGGGTGTGGATAGTAAAATAACGATTTTTGTGGTTAGTGGTTATCCAGTACCCACCGCGGTTAATCCACAAAATCCACAATAACTACACTAATTATATTTATTTAGTGAATTAATTTTATAATATAATAGTATGTGAAAAGTGCGATGATAAAAATTAAAGTAGCCACCAAATATAAAAGACACACCTAATTAATTTTATGTAGGAATTTGTTAGTTTATAAAACACTATTATCGAGAGTGAAGAATAATATATTCATTAAAAGTGAACACCTTTGGTAACTTTTTTTTTTTGGTGCGAAACAGAGCGCTAGGGGCGCTCTAACCCTTTAATTACTGATAGTTCGCTGGGTCTGGACCCCAATAGTGTCGAAATACAACCAATGCCTCAGAGTAGGGCTCGGGACATCAACCAAATGAACTCCTATAGGTAAAGAATGGCCAACAGACGCCAAATAATCCGCAACATAGTTGCCTTCACGAAAAACATGCACTAGCTCGATCTCCCAGTCTCTGGCCAGCAGCTCTCGGATAGATGCTATCAAGGTATAGTGTGGACTATGGTGATCCGCATCCTTGAGCAGGTTTATCGCCGTTGTCGAATCAATATGTAATATCACCTTCCGTACTCCCTCCTCCCAGGCCATCCGCAACCCATGAACTATACCTCCCAACTCTGCATGGGTAATCGATCCTCCACCTAAATTGGCAGCAAACGCCTTGATGAATCTCCCAACGCATCCCCTGAGCACTCCACCCGCAGCAGTACTCTTCTGAGCTGGAACCACTGAGCCATCAGTGTTTACCAGTATGTTTTGGTTTTTTTGTGAAAAAAATACAAGATCATATTTAATTGTCATATTTCACCCCTAGTCGGGGAAATATGAAATCACAGCTCTCTGACACAAAAGTTGAATACCAAACTCAAAAAGAAAAAATCTCCATATTGAGTAAGATCGATGTACAAAATTGTATCTCCGCGAACAATACAAGTGTATATCACTATAGTCTAGTTACGAACAACACTCTATGCTTGCAAAGATGGATTTTTTTGGGTAATCACACCCAACCCGCACAAACCCACAGTGGGTAGTGGTTACCCACTAACCACTGCGGTGCGGGTTGTGGGTAGCATAATTGTAAATTTATGGGTGTGGGTACCTAGGGATGGCAGTTCAACACGGACCCGCAGGTACCCGACCCAACCCAGTCAAACAGGGTAAAATTCATGTTGACCGGGTTCGGGTTTAAACCCGGTGGCTGGTTGGGCGGGTTGGGGCGGGTTAGGGTTTGGGGAAACCCGACCCGTGTATACCCGGACATACATTTCCTAACCCTAAATTTCCCAAACCTCGGCCAGTCCCCAGTTCCCAGAGACACAATCCGCTGCCAATCTGACTCCTCTCCCTCTCTATCTAGTGAGTAGCGATCTCCAGTCTCCAGGTCTCCCTCCTCTAATATCGCCACCGGAGAAACTGAGCTCTTCCTTACTGCGTCTCTCTCTAGCTCGATCCTTCTTCTTCAGCTGAAGGTTTCGTCTACGCCATAGCTCTTCTCCTTCTTCCTCTTCCTGCTGACGGTAAGGCATTCGTAACCTCGGGAAATCATGATCTCAATCACCTCCAATTTCTTCCAATTCAGTTCTCGCTCTCGCTGTGGATAGTGAATTCGTATCGTGCTCTCCTTTTTCAGCAAGGTTCTCCAATCAGACCTAAATTGTTTGTATTGAATTGCTCATGGTCATGGAAGTGGTTAGGTATAGACTGAGAGCAGTTCTGTGGGATCTCCATAACGTGGATACATGCTTGTTATTTGGGCTGGAGTGAGTGGATTGGTATGATCCCCCGATAGAAGATTTGCTAGGAGTAGGAGGCACTACTGACCCTGCTATGAAAAGCAACATAAAATGGTTCAACACTTTTGGCTTAGTTCTTTCTGTGGCATGATTCACTTTTCCACTAGGTCAACCCTTAGCCAGGTGTACTAACCAGGGTAAAGCTGCTGCCTCCTAGAAAATTCGATCAGGCTGGTTCTGTCACGGCCTTACTCTTGGTCGTGCGGCCTAGCTCTCAATTCCGTTAGAGAAGCTAGGCAGCCTTCTCACAAGCTCTCAAACTCACTCAACTCACAAGAACAAGACACAAGAAGATGGGAGAAACTCTATAGTTGTATTGCTCACAAAAATGATGGATGAGTTACAAGTGAGGGAGATGGCTCCTTATATAGGCCTCTCCTCATACAAGGCATCAATGCCCCTCATAATGGTCCCTCCCCATTACTACACCCTATTAAGTTTCCCCCATAATGCACACCATTATACCACCTCATAATGTGGCTCTTTATGTGCACCATTAAGCTCATATTCAAGATGGAGAATCCTAGGAGCATCCTATGCTACTAGGTCTTCCTAATGCCACACGTGCTTGACTTGGTCATGATCCGCCACATCATTCGCCATGTCGCCCGCCACGCGTGACATCCTCCCCCACCTATTCTTGCGATGCCCTCATCGCGTCCTTGCTACGAAATGCCTCCATCGACCTCGAGCAGCCTCTCTCGACTCTTGAGCCTCGTTGGTGACATTCTCCTCCACTCAATCCACGACGCCCTCGTCGTGGCTCTTTGGCAGATGCCTCCCTTGCCTTAGCTTCATTGCTTGCAAGGTCTCGTTGCACCTTCCTCCAAACCAAGGATGGCCCTGGCTCGCTCTCGAGCCTTGTGCTCCCATGATGTTGCTCACTCCTCCGCGGTCTTCTCCGTCGCGTCTTCGAGTGTCCCGCCTTCTCGACCATGGTGGCCTTTCCTTGCTTCTCCTGGAAAGTCGAAGATGACCCATCCTCGTCTCTAATGGCTCCACGATGCTGTGAACTCCTCCTTCTCGTCCTTCTCCAACGAGTCTTCGAGTGAGCCGCTGCCTTCACCATCGTTGCCAATTCTCGCTGCTCTTGCCTTGCCAAACACCTCTTGTTTGACTCAAGTTGCTCTCTTGTCATGGGAACCGATCTTGCTCCGCCATTGATGCAGAATCTATTGGCGTATGGGATCGGGAAAGCTTTCTCCCGCACCATGAACTCCATGCCGATGATGACCTGATAATCATCCAACGACACAACCTCAAAGTCCGCCACCCCGGTCCATCCTCCTAGCTTGAGTGGCACCTGGCGCGCTACTCCATGAGTTCTTGTGGCCCTTGAGTTGGTAGCCTTCATCCACCCTCTTCGCTTCTTCTCGTACGTGATGCCCAGCCTCCGCGCTTCATCTACGTCGAGAAGGTTGCAGCTTGCCCCGGTATCAACCAAGGCTTTTGTCTTCCTTTGGTTGAGCTTTGCCTCTACGAAGCATTGACCGTGTTGCTCGGGATGGGGAGACTCTTCCGTCCGCTTGATGGCGCTCAATCTCTTCATGCAACCAAACTTCGCGACATGGGGCTCCACTCTTGGAGTCGCCTCCTCTTCCTCTTCCGAGCTCGAGCACTCTGCTAGTACGGCCTTCATTGCCGACAACTTGTGCTTTCTTGGGCAATCTCTCACACGATGCGGACCATCACAAAGGAAGCAAGTAAGTGGTTTCTCAACCTTATGACTACCTCCTTGGTCCAGTCTACCACGCCTTCGTGTTTCTCTGTCATAGTCGCGTCCACCTCCATTGCCTCCGAACTCCACACGTTCCTCCGGCTCGTGGTACTCGACTAGGGACTCGGCAATCGCCATTGCCTCGGCAAGACTTTGCACGCCTCGCCGTTGTAGCTCCAACTTCGCCCATGGTTGGAGGCCGTCAAGGAAGGTGAACATGGCCTCCTTGTCGGTGTAGTCGGGGATCTCGAGAAACAATTCAGAAAACTCCTTCACATACCCTCGAATCTCTCCTTCGTGAGCAAGCCTCCTTAGTCTCGACCGGGCTTCAAACTCAACATTCTCTGGGTAGAATTGTCTCTTAATCTCCCTCTTGAAGTCATCCCATGACTCCATCACGCACGTCCCTTTATTAATATCGCCTTGGGTCCTTCTCCACCACAGTATAGCAACATCACTCAAGTAAAGAGGTGCAGTTTTTACCTTGGTATTCTCATCTCGAATACCCGAAGCTTCGAAGTATTGCTCCAAGCTCCATAGGAAGTTCTCTAACTCCCTTGCATTCCTTGACCCTTGAAAGCTCTTTGGTCTTGGAATCTCCATGGTTGAGGCAGGTTGTGCGATGGCAGGTC